ATGCAAGGGTAAATGCATGAAGGCGAGACCAAGTCTAGAGATGTAGCTTGAATCTTGAGATTTAAAAACATCTGTAAACAGCAATGTGACTAGGTATTGGTTGTAATACTCTATTATATGACAAGGACGGGCTTATCACAAGCATGATTTGGGATTAACAATATTTTCCGAGGCAATTCATAAGTCACCTAATCTACTACATCAACTGGTTCTTTGTTGCTCCATGCTGGTACATGCAGCTCTCAAGGAGAAGGGAAACTGAGGGGAGGCAAGGGAGGAAACTGAGGGGAGGCATAATTGATTACCAGAACATGGGAACCTCCCATGAAGGGAGGGACGATGAGAAGGACGGGGGGGTAGTGGGGGAGCAGAGAGGGAATGGCAGTGGGGGAACAAAGGGGACGGAAGGGCAGTGGGTGAAGGGCATGGCAGGGAGGGAAGGAATATGTTACGAAAAGGTGAGGGAGGAGGTGAGTTATGAGAAAGGATGGGACGGAATGAGAGAGGGTGGGAAGAATGAGTTAGGGTTGAAAGGAATGAGTTAGGGTGGGAAGGAATGAGAGAGGGTGAGACGAAGGAGTTAGGGTGGAAAGGAATGAGTTAGGGTGGGAAGGAATGAGAGAGTGAGGGAAGGAATGAGAGCGTGTGGGAAGGAATGGGGGGAAGCAGGGAAGGGGATGGGGGGAAGCATTGCAGGGGATGGGGGGAAGCAGGGGAGGTGATGGGGGGAAGCAGGCCAGGGATGCGGGGAAGCAGGGAAGGGGATGGGGGGAAGCAGGGAAGGGGATGGGGGGAAGCAGGGAAGGGGATGGGGGGAAGCAGGGAAGGGGATGGGGGGAAGCAGGGAAGGGGATGGGGGGAAGCAGGGAAGGGGATGGGGGGAAGCAGGGAAGGGGATGGGGGGAAGCAGGGAAGGGGATGGGGAAAAGCAGGGAAGGGGATGGGGGGAAGCAGGGAAGGGGATGGGGGGAAGCAGGGAAGGGGATGGGGGGAAGCAGGGAAGGGGATGGGGGGAAGCAGGGAAGGGGATGGGGGGAAGCAGGGAAGGGGATGGGGGGAAGCAGGGAAGGGGATGGGGGGAAGCAGGGAAGGGGATGGGGGGAAGCAGGGAAGGGGATGGGGGGAAGCAGGGAAGGGGATGGGGGGAAGCAGGGAAGGGGATGGGGGGAAGCAGGGAAGGGGATGGGGGGAAGCAGGGAAGGGGATGGGGGGAAGCAGGGAAGGGGATGGGGGGAAGCAGGGAAGGGGATGGGGGGAAGCAGGGAAGGGGATGGGGGGAAGCAGGGACGGGGATGGGGGGAAGCAGGGACGGGGATGGGGGGAAGCAGCGCTTGAAAGCCTGGGGAAACAGGGAAGAGGATGGGGGGAAGCAGGACGTGGGGAGCGGGGGAGATGCGGGGGAGAGAGCTGGGGGAGGACGGTGGGGAGCCCGCGAATGATGTGGGGAAGGAGAGAGGCAAGCAGTGTGGTGGTGAAAGGCGATCACTGGGGGAAGGGAAGGGTGTGTGCGGGTTGGGAAGGGGGCGTGACAAGTGTGCGCGTTGGGAAGGGCGCAGGGCGGGATGGCGATGTTGACGAAGGGAGTGTGACGGGCGGAAGGGAGGGTGACGGGCGGAAGGGAGGGTGACGGGCGGAAGGGAGGACGACGGGCGGAAGGGAGGGTGACGGGCGGAAGGGAGGGTGACGGGAGGAAGAAAAGAGGGGAATCAGTGGGGGACATGTCAGGGCGAATGGGGGGAAATTAAGAGGTAGGGTGAAGGGAGGCGCGAAGAAAGACAGCGCGAAGAAGGGCAGGGCGACAACGGTGCTGGTGTGTTGAGGGGAGGGGAGGCGTGACGCAGGGAGCGGAGGTCGACGAGGAGAGGCGCGGCTGGACGAGTGGAGGCCCATCGAAAAGAGGGGAGGCGAGACGAGGGCAAGCGAGGTCGCGAGGCGAGGAGAGGGGAGGCTTCACGAGTGTATGCACGACGAAAGGAGGGGAGGCGCGACGGGTGCCGCGACGATGCAACCCTAAACTCAACGACCTAAACACTTCGAGGTGCGTGGGCAGGTGTGGCGAGGTGGCTTCAACTACCCTCACGAGCACACTGTCAAGTCTGTATGTACGCTTGATTACGCTTGTATTATAAAGCTTAGATTCGAGCAAGAAGATTGAAGGTGGAAGCGATAGCACCGACACACGTACGCAGCACTTCACGATGGTTTACTGATACCTAAGCTGAGTTACGAGATCCGCGCCGTGCATTTGCCCATACGATTTTAGTGCGTGGAACATCCTTTTGAACAAGGCAGTGGTCGCCCCAATGCGACAGTAACCCTATTTGCGATTCTCGTCATTCTGACTCGTAGGGGAGTGACGAAGGCCGAGAGATGCACGCACGTTCCACAGCTTTTCTGCTTCGTTCGCCCCACACGTACAGATACGACAAATAGTGGTGACGTAAGTAGAGACTTGCGAAGTGCAACCAGGTGCTGTCCTGGGTGAAATAAGCGCATCCAATTTGCTGCGAAACATACGACGACATCAATGCTCTTCATGTGAAATCGCAAATCCTCGCTGCAGGTCGACCGAAGCCTCCTTAAAGCCATTCACGATTTGCAATGTGTGGTGTTGTGTGTCACCTAACGAAAACCATCGCAAACAAGTGGCGAAACCAAATGTTCGATCAAACAAGTGACCAATCGCTTGTTCAAAAGGATGTTCCACGCTCTTATGAGCAGACTGGGGTGGGTTCGTCTTCCCAATCTAGGCTAGTATATCCAGCACCCCGTACCGTTAGGTTTCTGGTTTCTGACTTTCGCCAGCGAACTTTTCAGAGATTCTGTTTTCGCACATGCGAAATGAGTTGAGCTGGGCACCTAAACCCTACCAAAGCTCAACACGCGATGCGAAATGATGACGCATCAATAAAATGTTGAAAGATGGACGACTGGCTGGCAGTCTCCAGGGGAATGCTAACAGAGTGCCTGCTGCAAAATCAGTCCACTGAGACTGGTAGTTTGTAACTCTCTTCGCTACCCAGCGTATGAGAGCTTTTATGAATGCTATTGCTTGTCACCACAAGGTACCGGGCTAGATAGTGGATCTGGTCCCGTCTCCCCTCCTCCTCCCTTCCCCCGCCCCCCCGACCTCCTGCCACGAGAAAAAGTGCACTAGAAACTTCAGGCAACGCAAGTGCGAAGAGCTGTACTCACTAAAGCGAAACAAACACGTTTGACACGTTCCTCTCACACCCGCCAAAAATGAGGGCATATAATGCGCCTTTATAGATTTGGGGAACCAAAGATTGCAAGGAAGTTATTCCTACCCAGGTAGATGGTTATGGAATACCCATCGTGAACCTTCATAACCGACCTACACATGGGGCTCCAACCTTCATATATGCCAGAGAAGAAACAAGTTCTGTCATCCATCAGCTGATAGCAGAAGAGACTTTCACTGGAAGAAACATCTAGAATTGTTGGTTTACGGCTCATTCTTGAGCCAGAGCCCCTAATCTCTAGGAATTTTCACCTAAGGTAAACGCGATTTTTGTCTCCTTCTTGCTAACCCCAGCCGCAGCCTTATTTAGCTGCTGCAGCTGGAGGGGCAAGTGCACCAACAGGAGGAGCGCCAAGGAGCCCCTGTTGACCTTCTAAATCCATCAGCTGCTGCTCGCGGTCCATCTCTATTATAAGCGGCACGCATAGGATTAAGAACGTCGTCCCCGCGATCCACGCCGCCTTTCCCGTGCTCCATAGTAGCTTCCGCCCCACCAAGCTACTCCCTGAGACTGCACGCTTCAGCCTCGCCGTTAGCCAATGCTCCTGTGTCCGATGAGCCGGAGCAGCGGGAGAAAAAGAGTTGTAACGGGCAAGGAAGGGGGAAGACGTACGAAGGGTAGAATAGATGAGGAGGTTTGGGTTTTTAAAATCAAGCACGTAAAGAGAATCACCGGCATGCGAAGAGAAAGTAATCACACTAGGCAGGGCAAATAATTCATAGCATGCAAATCCGATAGCTTCATATAGCATCTTGAACTCAATCGCCGAGGTTGAGAAAAGAAAGGAGCACTTATGCGATGAGTTTAGGGTTTCGAGGAGGTCAGTTTCTACAGCCAAAGTCCTCCTAACCTTGTCAAGGCAAGATCGGAAAGGATCCCGCAATATGTGCCGCGATTAGCGAAACAGGTATGATGACGAAACAAGATCACGAGCATCAATCAGTGCCTTAGGTCGCACCTGCTTGGCTGGTCCGGAAGATCCGATGGCTGCTGAAGTCCCTGGCATCGATGCGCTCCTTGTAAAGGACGTGGATCAGGGATGAAAGGCGTTACTAATCTCGGATCCAAACACTTGTTCGAACAATATTGTAGGAATAATAGCGCCCTGGATTCTAGGGACAGGTGGGTAGTGAAACTAGGGTCGCTAGGCAAGAGAGCTAGCGAACTAGGTGCAAGTTGTGAGGTATTCTGCAAGTTTCAGCAGTAATTAGCTGTGGAGGGAATGTGAGGTGAAGTTTATTTGCATACATGTTCGCTGTAACACCTGAAGTGATGTTATTGTAACATAGATTTGCGAAGAATGGTAGCATGTGGGACGCGCGGATCGGTTCTGATTCGCGGGAATGGGCACTCGAAGCATCGCTCAAAATCGTTGCTCACTTCACCTCGTTGCTGCCGAGCCGACTGCAAGAAAGTCAATTCAACCAAACACCTGAATCCATGGTGGTTATCCATCTTAAACGTTCTTAACCGAACCATAACGAAGGCCTTAGCTAGATGGCAACTTAACTATTTCACCGAGTTCCGATCCCTAAAATACCGCTCTTCCCTATTTTTCCCTAGGGAACTGTGCAATCTACAACTGACACCAAAACGTTCATCCCCATGAACTAAGTTCGTTCATAGCGCATCGCGCCATTCAGAGAAATTGCAATCTCTCCCGCTAGTGCGGAAACGCACTCATACTCTCTCGCTTAGATCCTCCGTGCCTCGTGTCGCGCGCGAAAACCAGGCGGCATGTCGTGGTTCCGCTCCGCCCTTAATCGGGCGGCGGAGGCGGCGGGGGCTGGCGGGAGATCGGTTGCGCCGAATTTCGATCGCGTGAAGGCGTATGCGGGACACGTGGTGCAGCGCGCGGGAGATGCGGTTGCCGGCGGAGCGAAGATGGTCCTGGAACGCGCTGTGGTGAGACGTCCTCGTTAGTATACGCTGCGGTACTCCGTTTTCGGGCTCCGCGCCGTACGGTGCAGTGCAATGCCGTGCAATGTGTATTTGTGCAGTCCTGTTGACCGTCCCTCCTCCTCTCACCCACAATCACAGCTAACATTTCAAATACAATGAACTCGTGCTATTACAGCCACGGTTACCTCGCTAATATTTCCCGTCGTTAGCTTTCAAGCCGGACACTTCATACTGACAATCTCTCAAAGAGACACGCTGCCGGTCTTCATGCTAACATCCCTCTCCGTACTCCGTCTCTCGACCCTCGCACATCCGCTCCGCACTCTTCCATCGCTCAACCTACAACCATAATCAGGTCGTATCCCAACCCTCCCCATCCCCCCACCTTTCCCCCACCTCCCCCACTTCCATTCCGCCTGCCATCTCTCCCCCAGCCGGGGCGCAATCTCAACAACTTCCGCCACGCCGTGCGCCGATTGGACGAGGTCTCGCTCCTCGCGCGCGGGAGTGAGCGGCGGGACGCGCTCGCGCGCTGGCTGGCTGCGCTGAAGGAGCTCTCCGACAGCGACCACGCGGACGGGATAGCCTACGCGGCGGAGTTGGCGCAGGGCGCGCAGGCGGACGGCGCACAGGGGGAGGGCGCGCAGGGGGAAGACGTGCCCGCGCACATTCCGGGAGTGGACGCGCCCCCAGAGGCGACGTTAGGGGAAGGGGAAGGCGGAGGGATCGGGGGAGGCGTTGGGGGGGATACCGGCGCAGGAGGAGGAGGGGGAGGCGGAGGGGGGAGAGAAGGTGTGGGGGGAATGGGCGCGCGGAGGTTGCCAAGTCCGCGTGTGCAGGTTGGCAGTTTTAACAGTGGGCCTGGTGCGGCTAGTCCTAGGGCAAGAGCAGCGGAAGATGCTCCTAGTGTTGGATCGGTGAGGGGAGATGGAGTGGGTTGGGGTGGGATGGAATGGAATGGGGTGGGATGGAATGGGGTGGGATGGAATGGGGTGGGGAGGGATGGGAGTGAGATGGGGTGGTCAACAGCGCTTGTCTGCATGCTACTCATCCATTCTTTCCACCCCATTGTGCCAACCAACCAGTTCGTGCTGCTTGTGCACCCACACATTCCCCCCCGCGCCCCCCCCTCCCAACACACACATACACTCTACTGCCCTCTCAGGTGTCTCTAGATCCTTATCCTCAATCCTTATCTCCTCCCATCCGCCTTCTCCCCTCCCCGTTCCCCCATCGCCTCCCTCCCCTCTCTGCGTCCACATACCTGCACGCCCCTTTCCTGGATACCCTGCCTCTCCGCGCCTTTCCCCTCCCTGCCTCCCTCTCTCATCGTCCGCATCCTCTCTCACACCTGCTCCATGCCCGTTCCATGCTGCTCCCAGCCAACCCCGGCGTGATATTCAAGTCAACTCAAAGACCACCCTGCTCTCCCCTCCCTCCCCACTGCCACACCACACCACACCACACCACGCCCTCTCTGTCTCGTCGTCCCCTGCTCCTCGCCTGTGCAAGCAGGTGCTGTTCCACGATGCAGCCAACCCCGGCGTGCCGCTCACCTTCAGAGACGTCTTCCTGTGCAGCAAGGCCCTCGAGAACATCGTCGTCTCCTTTGTGAGTCGCGGCGGTGCATGGGTGGCACAGTGAGTGGCCGAGGGGGGTGCTTGGTTGGAGTGAGTGATGATGTTGTTCCACGATGCTGCCAACCCCGGCGTGCCACTTACCTTCAGGGACGTCTTCCTGTGCAGCAAAGCCCTCGAGAACATCGTCGTCTCCTTTGTGAGTCACGCCGCTGCTGTGGGAGTGAGTGAGTGGTGGGGAGTTCTGATTGAGTGAGGGTGCTGCTGCCATCGAGTCAGGGCGGGCGGGCGAGTGATCGGGTCAGGGATTCGTGGGCAGAACAACTTAAGGCTGGTTAGGAAGGAATATAAATAAACGGATGCCAGCTGGGTCGATCGATGGGTCAATGGTTAGAGCGGGAAATACAGCCAGGCATACAGTGATCCGTATGATCTCTATGCATTGCATGATATGATGCAAAGTCACCTATGATGCTGCCTGACTCTCTGATCCCAATCCCATCCCACGTCCTTGCCCGTGCGTGCCCCCCTTCCCTTGTGCAGATTATGGACCCACCATCCCCAGGGGAGGAGCAGATGCTGGCAGACATGTTCGAGTGAGTGACCACATGGACGATGGAGGGTGGGGGAAGGGGCAGTGCTGGTGGGCGGATAGAGAGTGAGAGAGGGCGAGAGTGGGGAGTGGGCTGGGAGAGAATCACTGCCACCACAAGTGTGGGGAGAGCTGGCACGCACACGCACACGCACAGGCACACACACTCACACTCACACTCACATTATCGCATATGACCCCAGTTGTCATCACATTCAGCTTGCAGGCTCCGGTCCCCTCATGCTCTCATGTTTTTGGAGTTTCCTTCTCCCTTCTGCTCTTCTTACTTCCTTATCCCCTCCATCTACTGTCGCCTCTATGGCCGTCTCTGCTTTCTCCTCTACCCACTCCTCCCCCTTCCCCTTTCACCGGACCCCGTCCAACCCCCTTTCCACCTTCGCCTGCCCTCCCTCTCCCATCCCGCATTCCCCCCTCTGCCTGCCCTCCCTCCTTGCCCCACCCTACCTGCCGCCACCTTGCCGTGTGGCGCCAGTCTGTGTCTGTCAGGCGACCATCAGCTGCACTCGTCGCTCCTCAACGCCATCACGCAGCTCTCCAACTCCTTCTCCTCCTACTCCGAAGTCAAGGTTAGTCGCTTCTCAAGTGAAAGAAAATTTTCTCTGAGAGCGTCTCAAAACAAAACCCCTTCTCCTCCTCCTACCCCGAGGTCAAGTTCAGCCACTTCTCAAGCTCCCTGCACGTGCACTGCTTTTGACAGCCCTTACATTACACCCTCAAAGATTCCCCGCTCCCTGCCTCTCCCCGCTCCTTCATCCTTGCATCGCCCATTCACCGTTCCCCATGCTCTGTGCGTGCCCTGTGTGTGTGCTTGTGTGCACGTGTGCATGCAGATGAGCCGGCAGGAGCTGCTGCGAATGGCGTCTGATGCAGTGGCAGGGCTGAAGCTCGATGCGCAGCTGCAGAGGTGGGCAGTGGGCAGTGGGCAGTGGGCAGTGGGCACCATGGGAAGGACAGCATGCTGGTTTGGATTGGAGGGCTGGGATACGCTGGGAAAGAGTGTGGCCTTGCTTGGGATGCGCTGCCCTATGCTTTGCGCTTCTCGTCATTTGCCTCTTCTTCTGCCCCTTCTTCTGCCCGTTCGTCTGCCCGTTCGTCTGCCCCTTCACGTGCCCCATCGTCTTTCCCTTCATCCATCTGCCCTTTCCACCCATCCCTTTCCTGTTCATGTTCCCTCGGTCGTGGTTATGCATGCTGTGACTCTGCACCACAGGCTAGAGGCGGAGGAGGAGAGGATAAAGCAGCTCATGGACGAGAAGATGGAATTCCTCTTTCTCAGCTCCCTCTCCCGCCATCCGTCTGCCCTTCCCATCCCCCCCATTCCCCTCGGTCGTGGTAATGCTGTAACGCAGGTTAGAGGCGGAGGAGGAGAGGATAAAGCGGCTCATGGACGAGAAGATGGAAACACTCTCTCTCCGCTCCCTCGCGCGCTCGCTCTCCCAATCCTCTCCCCGCCCTCCTCCTTCCCCCGCTGCTGCTGCTGCCTCTGCCGCCACTGCTCCCTCTGCTGGTGCCGCTGCTGCCGCTGCTGCCGCTGCCGCTACTGCTGCTGCTGGTAGTGGTGGTGATGGTGGTGGTGATGGTGATGGTGACGGTGAGGGTGTAGCTCCTCCTGACGTTTCAGAGCTGTTCGGTTCGAAGCCCGCTCAGCCTAGGAAAGCGGAAGGGGCCGGGGAAGGGAAGGAAGAAAGGGTGGAGGGCGAGGAGGGGAGCACCAGCACGGAAGGAGGTGGGGGGAAGGAGGAGGAGAGTGGGAAGGGCGGGGCGGGGACGGATGTTGCGAGGGGTGGAGAGGAAGGGGAAGAGTCAGCTCAAGGGGATGGGACAGCAACAGAGAGCTTGCAGATACCTCAAAAGTACTCTGTGGTATGTGTGTTTGAATAGTGCAAGCAAGCAAGCAGAGGTATTATATGCGCAAGCGAGGTCCACCCCCTGTTTTGTATTGTATTTGTTTCCCCCTCCCTGCTCTCTTGCCCACTTCCGCTTCCACTCCCTGTTCTCTCACCCTACTTTCCCAGACCCCGTTTCTCGTACCCTTCCCCGTTACCCCTTACCACCCGCGCTCGCCCCTTCACCCCCCTTTATCTCCTCGCGCTCCACCCCCCATCCCCCCCACCCCCTCCGCCCCCAACCAGGACGTGCAGGCAACAGAGGCGGTGTTCTCGCTGGCAGCAGCGCTGGCGTCTGTGGTGCGGCGTAAGGAGCAGCTGCGCTCTTCCTGATTCTAAGGCGCCTTCAAAATGGATTTCCCGCCCGCCCATCTCCCCTCCTCTTACCTCCCAAGGAACGGATTCCCCCTCCCTCTCTCTGCCCCTCATGCCTCTGCTCCCCCGGTCTCCCCCCTTCTCTCTCCCTTTCACCCCTGGCTCGCTCGTGTGTGCGCACCAACCCCCCCTACCTCAGGACGTGCAGGCAACAGAGGCGGTGTTCTCGCTGGCAGCAGCGCTGGCGTCCGTGGTGCGGCGTAAGGAGCAGCTGCGTCACCGCGGGGACAGCGCTGCTGCCCGCATGATGAAGGTGCGGCGCTGATACTGCCAGGGGGGTGGGTGGGGGACTAGGGGGTTTGAGTCAGGGGGCGCTGCCCGGGGGGTTGAGTCGATTCATAAGGAGCAGCTGCACCACCGGGGGGACAGCACCGCCGCGCGCATGATGAAGGTGCGGCGCTGATACTGCCAGGGGGCCTTCTGGAGGGTGTGACTGTGGGGATCTGGGTGGGTGGGGGGTGGTTGAGTCGATTCAGGAGCAGCTCCACCACCGGGGGGACAGCGCTGCCGCGCGCATGATGAAGGTGCGGTGCACACAGGGGGTGGTTCTGGCTGGAAGGTGGGAGGTAAAGGAGGGCCAGTTCTCTCGTGCAATGCAACCCCTCGTGTATCCCATGCCCGCCGTCTCTTATGTTCTCTCCTGAACCCCCCTGTTGCTCTCCAGTCCGCACCTCCTCGCCTCCTCCCCTCCACTCCTGTTCCTGTCCTTGCTTCCGTGTTTCTTTCGCCCCCAAATTTTCTCCTCTCCTCGCCCCACCTTTATGTCAGCTATCATGTGTATACACGACTCAAATTGCAAAATTCTCTCTCTCTCTCTCTCTCTCTCTCTCTCTTCTCTCTCTCTCTCTCTCTCTCTCTCTCTCTCTCTCTCTCTCTCTCTCTCTCTCTCTCTCTCTCTCTCCCCTCCCCTCTCCTCCCCGTATCCCTTCGTTCCCTAACACCTGGCAGGTGGCGCGCACGAGGGAGCTGGCGCTGAGCTGGCGAATTTCACAATCTCTCTCCCCTCTCCTCTCCTCTCTTCCTCCCTCCCCTCTGCTCCCATCCCCTCCCCTCCTCATGCCTATTCATTCCCAACCGCCTGGCAGGTGGAGCGCACGAGGGAGCTGGCAGCCGAGCTGGCGAATTTCATGGACGACTTTGAGGCCAAGATCGCAGAGTGCAGGTGATTGCAACAGAGGCCAGGTGATTGCAACAGAGGGCAGGTGATTGCAACAGAGTCCAGGTGATTGCAACAGAGGGCAGGTGATTGCAACAGAGGCCAGGTGATTGCAACAGAGGGCAGGTGATTGCAACAGAGGGCAGGTGATTGCAACAGAGTGCAGGTGATTGCAACAGAGGCCAGGTGATTGCAACAGAGTGCAGGTGATTGCAACAGAGGCCAGTTGATTGCAACAGAGTGCAGGTGATTGCAACAGAGGCCAGGTGATTGCAACAGAGTGCAGGTGATGGCAACAGAGGCCAGGTGATTGTAACAGAGGACAGGTGATGGCAACAGAGGCCAGGTGATTGTAACAGAGGACAGGTGATCACAACTGAGGGCAGTTGATCACAACTGAGGGCAGTTGATCACAACTGAGGGCAGTTGATCACAACTGAGGGCAGTTGATCACAACTGAGGGCAGTTGATCACAACTGAGGGCAGTTGATCACAACTGAGGGCAGTTGATCACAACTGAGGGCAGTTGATCACAACTGAGGGCAGTTGATCACAACTGAGGGCAGTTGATCACAACTGAGGGCAGTTGATCACAACTGAGGGCAGTTGATCACAACTGAGGGCAGTTGATCACAACTGAGGGCAGTTGATCACAACTGAGGGCAGTTGATCACAACTGAGGGCAGTTGATCACAACTGAGGGCAGTTGATCACAACTGAGGGCAGTTGATCACAACTGAGGGCAGTTGATCACAACTGAGGGCAGTTGATCACAACTGAGGGCAGTTGATCACAACTGAGGGCAGTTGATCACAACTGAGGGCAGTTGATCACAACTGAGGGCAGTTGATCACAACTGAGGGCAGTTGATCACAACTGAGGGCAGTTGATCACAACTGAGGGCAGTTGATCACAACTGAGGGCAGTTGATCACAACTGAGGGCAGTTGATCACAACTGAGGGCAGTTGATCACAACTGAGGGCAGTTGATCACAACTGAGGGCAGTTGATCACAACTGAGGGCAGTTGATCACAACTGAGGGCAGTTGATCACAACTGAGGGCAGTTGATCACAACTGAGGGCAGTTGATCACAACTGAGGGCAGTTGATCACAACTGAGGGCAGTTGATCACAACTGAGGGCAGTTGATCACAACTGAGGGCAGTTGATCACAACTGAGGGCAGTTGATCACAACTGAGGGCAGTTGATCACAACTGAGGGCAGGTGATCACAACTGAGGGCAGGTGATCACAACTGAAGGCAGGTGATCACAACTGAGGGCAGTTGATCACAACTGAGGGCAGTTGATCACAACTGAGGGCAGTTGATCACAACTGAGGGCAGTTGATCACAACTGAGGGCAGTTGATCACAACTGAGGGCAGTTGATCACAACTGAGGGCAGTTGATCACAACTGAGGGCAGTTGATCACAACTGAGGGCAGTTGATCACAACTGAGGGCAGTTGATCACAACTGAGGGCAGTTGATCACAACTGAGGGCAGTTGATCACAACTGAGGGCAGTTGATCACAACTGAGGGCAGTTGATCACAACTGAGGGCAGTTGATCACAACTGAGGGCAGTTGATCACAACTGAGGGCAGTTGATCACAACTGAGGGCAGTTGATCACAACTGAGGGCAGTTGATCACAACTGAGGGCAGTTGATCACAACTGAGGGCAGTTGATCACAACTGAGGGCAGTTGATCACAACTGAGGGCAGTTGATCACAACTGAGGGCAGTTGATCACAACTGAGGGCAGTTGATCACAACTGAGGGCAGTTGATCACAACTGAGGGCAGTTGATCACAACTGAGGGCAGTTGATCACAACTGAGGGCAGTTGATCACAACTGAGGGCAGTTGATCACAACTGAGGGCAGTTGATCACAACTGAGGGCAGTTGATCACAACTGAGGGCAGTTGATCACAACTGAGGGCAGTTGATCACAACTGAGGGCAGTTGATCACAACTGAGGGCAGTTGATCACAACTGAGGGCAGTTGATCACAACTGAGGGCAGTTGATCACAACTGAGGGCAGTTGATCACAACTGAGGGCAGTTGATCACAACTGAGGGCAGTTGATCACAACTGAGGGCAGTTGATCACAACTGAGGGCAGTTGATCACAACTGAGGGCAGTTGATCACAACTGAGGGCAGTTGATCACAACTGAGGGCAGTTGATCACAACTGAGGGCAGTTGATCACAACTGAGGGCAGTTGATCACAACTGAGGGCAGTTGATCACAACTGAGGGCAGTTGATCACAACTGAGGGCAGTTGATCACAACTGAGGGCAGTTGATCACAACTGAGGGCAGTTGATCACAACTGAGGGCAGTTGATCACAACTGAGGGCAGTTGATCACAACTGAGGGCAGTTGATCACAACTGAGGGCAGTTGATCACAACTGAGGGCAGTTGATCACAACTGAGGGCAGTTGATCACAACTGAGGGCAGTTGATCACAACTGAGGGCAGTTGATCACAACTGAGGGCAGTTGATCACAACTGAGGGCAGTTGATCACAACTGAGGGCAGTTGATCACAACTGAGGGCAGTTGATCACAACTGAGGGCAGTTGATCACAACTGAGGGCAGTTGATCACAACTGAGGGCAGTTGATCACAACTGAGGGCAGTTGATCACAACTGAGGGCAGTTGATCACAACTGAGGGCAGTTGATCACAACTGAGGGCAGTTGATCACAACTGAGGGCAGTTGATCACAACTGAGGGCAGTTGATCACAACTGAGGGCAGTTGATCACAACTGAGGGCAGTTGATCACAACTGAGGGCAGTTGATCACAACTGAGGGCAGTTGATCACAACTGAGGGCAGTTGATCACAACTGAGGGCAGTTGATCACAACTGAGGGCAGTTGATCACAACTGAGGGCAGTTGATCACAACTGAGGGCAGTTGATCACAACTGAGGGCAGGTGAATTCGACAGCTGAACTAAGGAAAGGTTTGCTGCGTGATTTAGGGGGGCCATAGGTGTGCTTTTGGTGGATGTGCTCTTGCTGCTGCTGTTGCTGTTGCTGTTGCTGTTGCTGTTGCTGTCTCTGTCGCTGTCTTTTGCTCAGTGGTTATCGCAACTGCTCTTCTCCCCCCGTGCAGGCAGCAGCGGCAGGAGGCAGTGACGTACCGCACGAGCAAGGAGGAGGAGGTGATGGAGGTGGAGAAGGGCATCACAGACGAGCTGCAGGCGCTGCACCAGCGGCGCAGGGAGATTGAGGAGCAGCTGAAGGAGGTGGACGATGCGATAGCAGCAACAACGCGGAGGCACATCCAGATGCAGGAGGAGAAGGAGCAGTTTGACCTCGCCAGCCATGGGCTGCTGGGCTCGCTGGAGGCTGAGGTGAGTGGGCTCAGCTGAGGTGAGTGGGCTCAGCTGAGGTGAGTTCAGGCGTGTTTTGGTCGGTTCATGCCATGCCATCCCATGCCGTGCTATACCTGTGTGTGTGCCTGCCTCCCATCCCTTGCCCTGCCTTTCCATTCCCTGCCCTACGCCACCAGGAGGAGCATCTGAACACGATGCAGCAGCAACACCAGCAGGACGCCAAGACGCTCTTTGGCTGGATGGGCTTCCTGGAAGATTCCTGGAAGATGCAGCTTCTCTACATGGAGAGCAAGGAGCAGACCTTTAAGTACGTCCCTTAGCATTGCCATTAGTAGTCTGTCACTCTTGCCTCTTCTTTGCTGCTATGCCCCTCGGTCATCCCTCTCTCCCCCTCTCTTATTCTCTCATCCCCCTCTCTTGTTCCCTCACCAACTCCTCTCTCTCCATCCCCCACCTCCTCTCCTCCTCCCCCCCACACCTCTGGCCCCACCTCAGGCAATCCCTGGCAGACCTGTCGGCGCGTCTGAGGGCCATAGCTGCTCCGCACCTGCTCGTGTGCATGGTACGTGCATGCCTGCACTTCCTGCTTCTGCCACGCTGTCATTTCTGTGTGTCGGCTTGATTGTGTGATTGCATTGTGATTGCTAGCTACAGCAGAGGTAGCCTCTTGCAACGGAAGTCTTGATTAGGTGATTGCATTGTGGTTGCCATTCTTACATGCCGAGTGACTAACACTGTGCACCTCTTTATCTTCTCCTTTCGATCCATCTCCGCTCCTCCCCTTGCCCCTTTCCGCCCATTTTCCTGTTGGTCAATTCCTTGTACCATTCTCATTATCTGACCCATCCCTTCTCGTCTCCTCTCCAATCAAATCCTCCTCCTCCTCCTCCTCCTCCTCCTCCTCCTCCTCCTCCTCCTCCTCCTCCTCCTCCTCCTCCTCCTCCTCCTCCTCCTCCTCCTCCTCCTCCTCCTCCTCCTCCTCCTCCTCCTCCTCCTCCTCCTCCTCCTCCTCCTCCTCCTCCTCCTCCTCATCCTCTTCCACCTCTTCCGTCCCCTCCCCACCATCAGGCCAACATGAGGGCGTCGCTCACAGCACTACAAGCAGCGGCCTCTGCTCTCTCAGCCATTGACGCCACCCCGTGAGTGAACTACTCCTTGCAACCCCCTTGCACCCCCTTGCACTCCCTTGCGTCCTCCTGCACTCCTCTGCACCTGCCATTTGCGTCCTTGCGCATCTCTTCACAGCTCTTGTTCCTTCCTATCGTTCTCCTATCCCCATTCCGTTCCCTTCCCTTCCAAGCCTTACCTCCCTCTGTGCTAAGTGGGGCCGCCAAGTGGAGGCCCTAAGTGGGTGGGTGGGGGCGCTAAGTGGGGGCGCTTAGCAGGCGCGCTAAGCGGGGCTCCTTTTGCATCCCCCATCCCACTCCCTCGAAGCTGCTGCCAATGTTTGGAACGCCTTAAAAGTCATCCCCACTCCCTCCTCCCGTTCGCAGGAGTGAGGACGAAGGGGGTGCAAAACTGCTGCCAGCGACTGGTGGCGAGCGCATGAGAGCAGAAGAGAAGTACCTACAAGCAGAAACACAGGTGCCATGATTTCTCTTCTTCGAAGCCCCATAACTTGCACTTTTTCTTCCCACAGTCTCGCCCCCTCACTATTTCTCTCCCTCGCTCTCTTGCTTCCACTCTAGTTTGTTCTGTGCAATATCTCTGCCTTGACTCTTCCCCCCATCCCCTCCCATCCCCTCCCGTTCCTCTTTCCACCTCCCTTTCCTACTGAATGTTGTCAGATGAAGCGAGCAGTGGCGATGGCAGATAAAGCACGGGCTGAGTGGGAGCATCTGAACTCCTTACCCCTGTAAGAGCCTTCTCTCTCTGACTTTTGAGTCGCTCAGAAATCATGGGCTGAGTGGAAGCATCCGAACTCTCTTTGTGGGAGCATATGTCGTGCCACCAACTCAGGTTGTGAGATCATTTTTGCCATTAACTGCCATGTGCCTATTGGCTTTGCCTTCTTCGTGTGCGCTCTCTTAAGCAAGAGGCCAGAATGGGTTTCTAATCGACAGAAAGCTGCTCCCTGTGGAAGGGAGGTGTCATTGCTGCCTACTTTACTTTCTCATGCCATCCCACGTTCATTCCCTTTTCTTATCTTCTCTTCACTATGCCTCCCTTTCCTTCTCTTTCTCTTGCCACCTCTCCTTGCTCGCTTCTCCTTTCCCCCCTGCAGGTTCCCAGAGGGCAGTGACGACCCCAACCACAGGCAGCTAGCACAAGCTCTGCAAGACATGGAAACCATGAAGCTAGAGCTCCTAGGCTTGCCCACTCCCACTCTCCTTTACCACTCCCACCACACCCACCACCATCACCACCAACAACAGCAGCACTTCAACAGATCACGTGACCAGCAGCAGTCCTCCTCGCCCTCCTCTTTCTCCCCCTCTGTTTCGCTCCCTCCCGCCTACCGCCGCTCCTCTCCGTCCTCCCATTGGCCCGGGGCTGCCATGGCTGCTGGTATGCGTTCCTTCAATCTCGGAGCTTCTCTTTCTAATCCTCTCACAGGGAGTCTCAGCAGTCCCAGCTCCAGTTCCCGCTCTCCCCGAACCTCCGATTTTGGCCGGTCTGCCTCTGCTTCGTCCGACGGCCTGGGAAGGACAGGTTCGGACCGAACCGGCCATCAAATGCCGCGGCACGAGAGTCTTTTTGGTTCCATGCTTGGTTCGGTGGGCGGTGACCATCAGCAGGATCGGCCGAAGCTGAGCCAGCGAATGGCTGCAGCAGCAGCAAGAGCTGCTGCGGTGGCAGCATCGGCGGCAGGGAATCTGAGCAGCAGTGCTGCTGCTGCCGCTGCAGGTGTGGGCGTTGGGGTTGGTGGTGGTAGTGGTGGTGGTGGTGGGGGGTTTGGCGGAGAGGGGGATGGCCGGGTTAGTGTTGTTCAGGAGGACGAGTAGGCTACCTAGGTTGGCAAGTGGTTGAGAATGTTAAGAAGACACAAGGGTTGTGGGGGACAAAGGGGAAAAGGGGAGAAGGTGTGGTGTGGGGAATGAGAGAGTGAGATCATGCGAGAAATGCAAAAGGTTTATCAAATATATCACAAATTGCTCTTGAATGAACCATGGATATGTATGCTATGTATGCACATAATCTTCCTCCCTTTCCGAGTGCGTGGAGCTTTGACATGTGTCCATATTTTTCTGCCTTTCTAGTTGTAGCATTTGTGCAAATTTGGGACAGGATATGGAATTACATCTAAATCCAAGCCCCATCAAATAGTTATTGTCTAAGATAAAGCGTGAAGGAAGAGGAGGGGATAAGGTGTATGACGTAACTACTTTAGCGATGCCTTTGCCCATTTCTGGGGCGTGACGAGGCTGCTTTGTTTCACCTGGGAGCGTTTCGCGACGCTCTCGCGAAACTCATGGTTCCCACGTGGACCTAGAGCAGACACTTCGAGAGTTTTGCTCAATTCCGCGGAAGCGCACTTTGTTTTATTATCGCCACGTGGCGTGCCTACGATCGCGCAAGCCGCGATCTGTTTTATTGTTACCACAATTTTCATGGCAAGTTTAGTAAATACGTGTACTGAGCTGCCCGCGGGCAAAAATAAAACCCATTTGGGCCTGGCATGCGTTAGGGAGGCATCAACCCTAAACACCTTGCCTCTATGTTTTTAGGGTTGATGCATGCCAGGCCCAAATGGGTTTTATTTTTGCCCGCGGGCAGCGCGGTACATGTGACCCTGTAAACTTAACTAAAATTCCCTTGAAATTTGTGGGAAAAATAAAACAGATCGCCGCTTGCGCTATCGTAGGCACGCCACGTGGCGAAAATAAAACGAAGCGCGATTCCGCAAATTTGAGCAAAACTCTCAGACACTTCTTCCAGGCTGAATATCCATCCAAACCAAACCACAACACAACGCATCACATTGCGTGGCGCGTGCTCCATTCCCTGCAGTGACCGACTGCTGTGACACCTTTCTTCACTCAGTCTAACTATACTGTTGGATTCGCTAGGGTTTTGCAAAACAATTTGTGCAAGCTGTCGCCTATGGCGCGGTTCGTTGCTGCCCATATGGAAATGCGTGGGAGCTCCGAATCGCGATGTTTGAACATTCGCGGCTCCACACACCACTAGCCCAGCAGCACCCCTCCCACTCGCCTCCCTGAATGGACAATCCCACTGGATTTTCGTCTCGTTCGCGCCTCGCCTCCACACCTCCCTCCTCCCTCCCACGCAGCCCCTCACGCACCTGTCCTTTTTTCCATCTCCTCAACAGCCTTTCCAAGCTGCTGGCCAAAATTACCCTGCTTTCTCTCCACGCCCTCCTTTCACCTTGCTTCTGTCTCCAGAGCTGTCAACTCACCCGTTGACTAATCTCGCCCCAATCTCGTGATACGTTCGCGCTAGCCTCGTTCCATCCCTTCCCACCGAATTCCCTTAGCAGCAGCAGCTTCGAGAACCCAGATCTAGCAGTTCTCCTCGTCGAGCGTTTGTGGCGAAACTCAGACTAACAAGAATATGTTTTTTTTGCGAGTCACATGAGGTGGTAGCGGTCGCGGTAGGTCCCGTCATGGAGAGACGACGAAGCGTAATTCTGCTAATCGTCCTCCTTCTAAGCTTCCTCGCGTCATGTAATTCCGTGATATTCAACGACGACAAATACCCGTCCCTCGGCATTAACGTATGCCCCACGCCGCGTTATATAAAATGCAGTCCAGCGTGCAACGCCACGTCGGGAACGGATGGGCATTTCGTCGTGCCGTTCCCTCGCTGTACCGCTGCAAATTCTGTAAAAAGTACGACGAGCGTGTATTGCGGCGGAAACGCCATCAGCAGGATTCAGTGCTGCAAGCTGTGCGGAAACAGGACGACGTGCAATTTCTGGCAGCACTATATCCCGTGAGTCCCGCTGCCGTGAGGTGTCTCTTTACCACGACACGAGTCTGAAACCTGCTGTCGTTCTGCCCGTTGTTATCCAACGTCGCGTTACAAGGCGTTTCATTCTATCCCCTCACTCCCTCCGTCGTGATCTTCCGTACGACCTGTCGAGCACGCACGACATCTAGCAATTCGTTTCCAATTCGCACGAATTCCCACCCACCCTTTCCCTCTCCCATCCCTCCCCTCCACTTCATTTCAATCTCCCACGTCATTTTCCCTTGTCCTCCCGTGACTGATCGTTCCACTCGCGCGCGCGCCATTCCAGGCCGAATCCCGCGTGCATGGGCTGCGGCGCGTGCTACATCTACCCTGCGGCCGCGCCCTTCCCCACGTGCGCCACCACCAACATCTCTTGGAACGGCGTCGAGCGACTCAACGCCAATGCCTCCACGTGCGAACTCTCTCTCTCTCTCTCTCTCTCTCTCTCTCTCTCTCTCTCTCTCTCTCTCTCTCTCTCTCTCTCTCTCTCTCTCTCTCTCTCTCTCTCTCTCTCTCTCTCTCTCTCTCTCTCTCTCTCTCTCTCTCTCTCTCTCTCTCTCTCTCTCTCTCTCTCTCCCTCTCTATCTCTATCTCTCATACCCGCGCTCTCATTCCTGATATTCTCTGAGTCAAAGACGAAGTCTTGCCACAACCCCCGGCAGGAAATCTTCGTCGACTCACATTTTATTATTCCCGCAACCCCCGGCAGGCTTGGGAAGCCATGCGCGGAAGGCAAGGACGACCCGCACTTCCGCGGCGGCCACGGCACGCGCTTCGAGTTCAACGGTCTTCCCGACAGGACCTTCTGCCTGTTGACGGACCGCAGTCTCCACGTCAACATGCGCATGCGCGGCTACTACGACACGCGCACCGTGGGCGCTTCGATTCTTAAGAACGGGCTCGCGATCCGCACCTGGATTAGGGAGCTTGGATTCATGTGGGTGGACGCGAAGACGCGGCGAAGCCACTCGTTTCGGATTTCGGCTCGTGACGGAAAGGATACGGCGCGAGGGAAGGGGTATCTGAAGGAGATCGAGTACGACGGACGGATGCTGCCGCTGCTTAAAGTAAGAGGAACGAGGGGGGAGAGATGAGGAGAGGGGAGAGGAGAGGAGTGGAGAGGAGTGGAGAGGAGTGGAGAAGAGTGGAGAGGAGTGGAGAAGAGTGGAGAGGAGTGGAGAGGAATGGAGAAGAGTAGAGAGTAGTGGAGAGGAGTGGAGAGGAGGGATAATTCTCAAGCAGGGAAGAGGGTGTTCCTGAACATCTCTTCCCCGCACTGCCTTTCCCCCTAGACTCGTCCCCCTTCGCTTTCCCTCCCCTTTTTTTCCCCATCTCCTCACCCCCTCCCTCCATTCCCCCCCCTCTCGCCCCTTCCCCCCCCCTCCGGAACGCTATCCGCAGCTCGGCGGGCGATACGCGCTGGACGGCGGGCTGACGTTCTCCTTCGACGCGTACGAGTCGCAGGGCGGCGGTTACTTCGACGTAGACGCTTACCACCTCGAGATTGCCGACCTGCTCGACCTCGAAATTAAACTCCGCGTCGCGCACCCGCTGCTGCAAACCCCCCACGACGCGCAGGCGCACATCAACGTGCAGTTCCTGCAGGTGCTCGGCACTCCCGAGGTGCACGGGATCGTCGGGCAGACGTACCGCGACGGGCGCGAGAAGCGCACGGTTACGTTCGCGGAGCTCGCGGAACTCACGGGGAGGCCCATCGCGGCGGACGGGGAGGAAGGGAAGGGGTTCCTAGACGGCGATGTGATTGATTATACCACGTCCGGGGTTCTACGCGCGGATTGCCGCTACACCGCGTTCAGCGGGGAGAGACGGCCGCATACCGCGGCGGATATCCCGCCCAGGCGCGCAGTGGCGGGCGGGCCAGCAGCTGTGGGCGGAAGGAGGGACGCAGGGCCGCCAGCGAGTCAATCCGCGGCAGCAGCAGCAGCAGCAGCGGCAGCGGCAGGCAAGCGAGCAGCAGTCAAGGCAGCGGCGGCTACGCCGGTGACGGCGGCAGCGGCTGCGGCTGCTGCGGCAGTGAGGAAAGCTGCTGCTCAAGCCATTCAACAACTGCCACAACCGGATATAAAGTCTGCTGCTGCAAGTTCTGCTGCTCATGCCACTTCTGCTGCTGCTGCGGCTGCTGCTGCGGCTGCTGCTGCTGTTGCACGCAATGTCAGGAGCGCTGCCACCTTGCTACAGCAGCAGCAACCACCTTCAGTGGTTAGGTCTGTAGCAACGGTTGTAGCTGGAACAGGCCTTGCTACAACCGCCACTACCGCCCCTGCTGCCAAGCCCTCAAATCATCAAAGACCGGTTCCCCAACAACTCGCCGCTGCTGCTCTACACCAGGATGCAAGAGCAGGTGCAGTCGCTGCAACACACAGCATCCCCGACCGTCGAAGTAGCCCGAAGCAACCAGCAGTCAGTCCGACAATCCAGCGTGCTGCTGCTGCTGCTGCTGCTGCTAATGCTGCTACTGCGGCTGCTGGATCTGCTGCAGTGGTGGTAGCATCTCCATCTGCACCTAAAGGTTGTGCTGCTGGTGGCACTCTGCCGATTGCCAAGCCTGCTGCTGCCGGTGCCAGCACTGGTGCTGCTGCTGCTGGTGCTGGTGCTGCTGCTGGTGCTGCTGGTGTTGCTGGTGTTGCTGCTGAGGACACTACGGTCAGAAGAGCGCCTGCCGCGAAATCAGTGGTTGTTGAGAAACGCGTGGGCAACGTGTTGAGAATACCTGGGTCTGCTGGTCAGCCTGGCAAGAAAGCAGCAGGGTTGATAGGAGTGGGGGGGAGTTCGGTGGTTACATTGCAAGAACGAGGAGTAAGAAGTGTGGTAGTGCAGCCAGGGGGAGAGAGAGCGGCGGCACCAGTGCAAACAAGGGCAGGAGGAGCAGCAACAGGGATGCATACAGGAGGATCAGGATCAGGATCAGGATCAGGAACAGGAACAGGAACAGGAGGAGAAGGAGCAGCAACGACATGAGCAGAAGTAAGAGCAGCAACACAACACAGCAGTACGAGGAGGAACATCAAGTGGAGTGGGAAAAGCAATGCCAAATAACGAAGGGCCGACAAGTGCCCTGGCAGCCGGCAGAGGCTTCAAGAGACAGAGAGAGCAAGAGCAGCAGCAGCAGCTGGTGCTATGCAGCTGCTCCCTGCAAATAATGGCAGGAGGGATGCTACAGCTACAGAGGCGGGCATACAAGGAGAAGAATATGGTTTAGGTGTGCGCTAACTGGTTGTATACCCTCCGTGCTGAGCTCTGCCATTGCAACCGGAGCATACCTGTTACCTCCACAGGAGCATAGGTTGTATTGTGTTATATTGCATGTTCTATAGCTGTTATGGTACTTTCCTTAGCCCCCATTCGTTGTTCAATTGTTATATTGAACCATTCATAGCAGGTCTTGATCTCCCAGTTCATAAATTAGCTAAATCATGGCCCCCTCAGAACCCAATTCCCGTATTTGATGTTTCTTCTTTTTGATATACCAAACGGTTGCTCTGATATAAAGCAATAGGCAGTACAACTTCTTCAGCCTTGACCTTTTGAAATGATAACCACATGTACATATGCACCTGACCAGGGCTCAGGTTATCAGTGTAATTTACCCTTCTTTACTGCTGACAAGGGTAAAATTTTCAATGTACACTGATGGCCTGGGGTAAAATTTTTGGGCATTAGTGTTACACTGATCTGTAAGTGTATCGGTTTAGTCCACACTGATGCTCTAGGGTAATGTTTCCGGTAGCGAGGTTTACACTGAAGGGCGTACAGACCCCCCCCCCCCCCCCCCTGTGTCCCGGGAAGTTGTCAGATTGTGATTTCCGTCAATCACGCAAGTACCGAGGGTACCTTTCATACAGTATGTGCGTTGGCAGCAGTCACCTCTCCCATTGGTCCGTTTGGAATAATTCCCTAGCCAGCTCGCCACGAAACCCGGTGTTGCCATCAAGTACAGTATTGCTGCCTGAATCTGGTGGTTTCACTAGGACCACATTCAGATGGTCGGTGCGTGCACTTGTCATCCATCTCCCCGACCGAGGCGCACTCGGTGTATCGGTATGGATGCATTGCCTTGTGGGTAGGGCAAGCACAGATGCAGTGTCGCCCCGCACCGTCGTTCCACCATCCCCACCTAGTTCCTCTTGTTCTAACCTCCCTCCCTAGCAGCCGAGCGACGTCTACCTCGTTGCCATGGCAGCCCCTGGAGACCTGGACGCTGACGATGCAGATGATGGAGACCCTTCCAGTAGCAACAGGCCTAGGACTGGCCTCGATTTCTTGAAAGGCAATGCTTCTGAACCAGGACCCAGCATTTTCGCCGAACCCTATGTTGACAGTGAGGGGTGGCATCATCCAGTGCGCACAGCAGTGCGGTAGTCACCACCGCGCCAGGAGGAGGTAGAGGACGAGGAAGCTGAATGGCAACGTCCCACGCGCATTGAGGGGGACCCCGTCGTGCGCGACAACGTGGAAACGACGGAGGTCGTTACCGAAGCACCGGAGTCTTCTAACTCGGTGGCGCTGAAACGACGGCGCTACACGCAGACCACCATTGGGTTTGCGAGCGGCACGCCTCTCATGAGGCCTCCACCACCGCCACCTCCCAAGGTCACTCCAGCGCCGTCACCTCTTAAGCTGACTGCAGCTGAACGCGCGGAGGCGAAGTTCCTGGAAGCTCAGCGAAACTACATCACGAAATGGCTCCCGCAGTTTGATTGGCTGTTGCTCGACAAGGGTGAGGATGGTCTGCCATGCTTGCGTTGCAGTGTGTGCAGTGAACATGGCCCAGACAACGCTCGTTACGGGAGGAATGGATGTGGCGGACGCGACTTGCAGCCAGTGTCGATGCGGGCGCACCAGGCCAGCACTCGACACGAGGAGTGCATCGAGCGGCAGCAGGGGCTTCTGGACAAGTTGGCTGCGCAGAAGAAGATCGACGACTACGAGAGAGCAGACCCTGAGGGCGCGCGCGTCATCAGACTCATGCGGAGCATTCAATTTGTGTGCGACGAGGACGCACCGATCTCAATGTACCCAAGGCTCGTGGAGTTTCTGGCCAGAGAGGGTGTTTCGGACATTCCTCTACAGACCTACGGTGTTTATATCACGGAGTGAGTGCTGTTCATGCTTTCCCATATTCTGTTAATGAATACATATCATTTGGATGCTAACCCATGTTTGCGCGAATTGCAGGTACGGGTTCAAGGAGATGGTGAAGGCGATGTGCACTTATCAGTAGCAGCAACAGCTGATGTACATACACGCGTCACCTTGGATCGGCATCAGCTGTGACGAGAGCACAGACAGAGCGCGCGGGAAGCATCTGGTAGTTTTCGTGACGTTCGTGAAGGATCGGCAAGTGGCGACAGAATTCTTCGCGCTGCTAACCGTGCAGAAGTGTGATGCTGCGAGTATCTTCACCGTCCTCCTAAGCCACCTGGAGACCGTCGGTCTAGAACTGCAGCGGATCGTCGCCATCAGCACCGACGGAGCGGGTGTGATGGTTGGCTGCGAGCGGGGTTTGACGGTGCGCCTCCGTGAGCGCATCCCTCATCTCGTCGGCACGCACTGCATAGCACACAGGTATGCGACGTCAATGGTTTTCCCGTGTTGTTCAGTCAGGCAACTTCAAGTGTTTTGACAGTTTTTTAAAACCATGTGCAGAGAAGTACTTGCAGTGAAGGAGTCGGCACTGAAGTACAAAGACCTCGACTTCGTGGACGCAGCTATCCGTGGGCTCGGCGACATCGTCACGAAGTCGTCTGTCTGGCACGAGCGCTTCAAGGAGCTGCAACAAGAGATCCACAAGACAAACCTCGAGCACCAGGGCCTTTTCGACGTGAGGTGGTTGTCGCGTGGAGATGCCGTGCAGCGGCTGTGCAAGGTCCTAGGTGCGGCGGTCGTAGTCTTCATCGAGTACGGCCACAAGTTAGCCGCCACGGTGCAGTCTTTGAAGTTCCACTTCTGCGTCTACTTCCTGGCGGATCTCCTGGCTGAGATCAACACCCTCAACAAGTTTTTCCAGCGCCGGAGAGTAAGCTATTTATAGTTTGATGTTTACTGTAGTCGGAGTTATGCATTTTGGGTTGTTAGCTCTTACCGCTGTCAACGTGTTTCCGCCACGATTACAGGTTGACATCACGCTCGTGCACCAGGAGGTGGACCGCACGATTGCCTGCATTAGGCTGCGCTACGTGGAGTACGACGAGAGCGGTTTTGAGGGTGGACTCAGCAAGCTGCTTACGCCATTCATCGCTCGCATGGCCAAAGGGAACAGGACGATCAAGGTGGACGGCGTGGATGCGGAAGGCGAGGCAACATCGCATGAGATCGTGCTGACCGAGACGCCGATAAAGGGACACAAGTACGGCGGAACGATTGCCGACTGCATCAAGCTGTGCAAGGCGTTTGCTCTGGAGGTGGCGACAAACCTGCACACACGCATGTACAGCCTGAAGGAGATGGAGGGCAGCAAACTGTACAAGGTGGAGTCGTGGCCAGAGGCGAAAGACAAACGGGAGCGACGAGTGGTGCAGTGGTTGGACGCCAACGCGCGTGTCTTCAAAAACAGGCTGCCAGGTGTGTTGTTGACCACGTGTACATAGCTATTCTACTGTTCACACTGTGTTCGTGGTGCCAACATGGATCCCACAATCCTGTTGACTGATATCATATTTGAACTTTTTTTGTCAATTTATGTTGCAGGGTTCAACCACTGTGCGGCCGAGCTGGAACTGAAGAGCTTCTGCCACGTCATGTCGCGCCACTACGAGGACGAGGACTTCTACCAAGGGCTTGCAAAGATGCTGAAAACCAAGGACTGGCCACGCAGCTTCCCGAACCTGGTATCGATGTGGCAGGCGCATGCAGTCATTCCGCTAAGTACCGTGGAGTGCGAGCGCGGATTCAGCCTTCAAACGTCATCAAGAGCTGGATGCGCACATCGCTCGGCGACGCCCGGCTATCCGAGCTGATGACCCTCAACATGCTGGACTACGAGTACAAGTGGCCCGATGTGGTGGACATCTGGAGGAAGCAGAAGAAGAGGAGACCCGCAAAAACACCCGCCCCTGTTAGAATCTAGCAGCAGGAATGGTTGAACTAGCAGCATGCAGGAGTACAAGTAGTAAACCCTAATTTGGGTTGTACCCCATATGGGCTACCCCACTACAGCCTAGACAATATGCAGCATATGTTTGACACACCCCCATAGGCAAAGTGGGGGAGAACAAGGGGTCACACGACCAGTCAAGAGAAACAAAGCAAGCTCAGGGTGGATCACAACGTCACCACACACTCTGAGCACAAGCAAAGGGCCACAAGGCCAGTTCACATGCAGAGATATATATATGCAGCAATAACAGGACAGTGATGTCTACCTAGCAGAAGCAGGCATGCAGGTATATATATAGATCACCGTACAAGCAAAGACTACAACAAGTGTGGAAACGTAGGCACAAGGCCTAACAAGGTACAAAAACGCTGATGATCACCAGACGGAAGTGCCTTGGTGAATATATCAGCAGTGTTGGCCCGAGTGGCCACGTGACGAAGACGAAGCTGACCTCGCTGCTGCAACTCTCGAGCCAGGAAGTAACGCAGAGCGATGTGCTTCGTTCTGTGCTCCAGTCTGTGCTCCTCACACAAGGCAATGGCGGCCTTGTTGTCGACGTACAGCACTGGAGGAGAACGAGGCTGCTCTCCCAAGTCAGTCAGCAGGTAGGTGAGCCAGCGTAACTCCTGTGCAGCCATGGCTGTGGCGTAGATCTCAGCCTCACAACTGGAGCTGAGAACTGAAGACGAACGTGTAGAACGCCACGAAACTGAACCAGAGCCAAGGCTGAAGGTGTAACCCTGTGATGACCGCTGAGTAGCCTGGTCGTCAACCCAAGAAGCGTCTGAGTGCCCAGTGAGGACAACTGGGCTCGTCCCTCCAAGCACTAGCCCCATGCCTGATGTGCTGCACAAGTAGCGCAGTACCCTCTTAGCAGCAGCCATGTGCTCAGGTCGGTGCCGACCAGGAGCCACGTAGCGAGCCAGAAGACCAAGAGGGTACGCGAGGTCAGGTCGAGTGCAAGTCATCAGGTACATGAGGCAGCCGACTAGCTCTGGGTAAGGACCACTCGGCTCTACGGACTCGTCCGAAGGTGGAGCTGAGAGCGAGTGACCTGTAGCCAGAGGAGTGGCCTGTGCTGAAGACCAGGTGAAGCCGAAGCGCTGAAGGACCTGCTGCACCATGTGTGACTGAGTCAAGGTGATGGTGCGACGTGCTCTGTCTCGGGTGATCTGCAAGCCAAGGTAGCTGCGCAGCTCACCCAAGTCTGTGCACGTGTGTCTCTTCTGCAGCTCCGACTTCACGTGGGCGAGAGCCTCAGTGTCAGCAGTGGCAAAAACCAAGTCGTCGACGTACACGAGGATGTAGAACGGCGGCAGGGAAGTGTCGGTGCGCAGAAACAGCGACGGGTCAGCAGTAGAAGGCGCGAACCCAAGAGCCGCAAGCGTAGTCCTCAGTGTGTCGTGCCACTCACGTGGCGCCTGGCGGAGACCGTAGACCGGCCGCCGGAGGCTCCACTGGGTGCCAGGAGGGAACGACCCAGTGAAGCCCGGGGGGCGGCGCAGCCAGATCTCCTCGTGCAGGCTGCCCTGCAAGAAAGCTGTGCTGAAGTCAAGAGAGTGAAGCTCGTAGTCACGGTGAGCAGCAACATGCAGCAGCACCCGAAGAGTGGTCATCTTCGGGGTGGGGGAGAAGGTCTGGAAGAAGTCAACTCCCTCTCGCTGACTGAAGCCTCGAGCCACGTAACGCGCCTTGAAGACAGGCGGAGAACCCGGCGGCCGCTTCACCCTGAAAATCCACATGCCACTGACGATGTTCGCCCCAGGTGGGGGAACCTCGTCAACGTAGGTGTCTGTGGACTTCCATGAAGCCATCTCTGCGTCCATGGCTGCCTGCCACTGAGAGGAGTAGGGACCCTCTATCGCCTCTGCGTAAGAGCGCGGAGTCGGGATGTCTGGTGCATCCGGGTCTCCCTCAGGGGCAAGTAGCGAGGACACAAGATGAGGTAAAGCAGCAGCAAGACACTGGAACTCCTCCTGCCTGTCCTCAAGGAGGCAGCGCTAGGGCTGCTGGACGGCGCGCATAGTGCAGCACGTCACAAGGCAAGGCAAGGCAGGCAGGTACGTGGGGTAGCGCGGTAACCGCAGCGGTAGGTGGGCCCGAAAAAAAAACGGTCCTACGGACCTTAGTGCTCTGATACCATGTTAGAATCTAGCAGAAGGAATGGGTTGAACTAGCAGCATGCAGGAGTACAAGTAGTAAACCCTAATTTGGGTTGTACCCCATATGGGCTACCCCACTACAGCCTAGACAATATGCAGCATATGTTTGACAACCCCGTACAAGCAGTGTGCTGGAAAGGGCAAGGCTGTAGTGGAGTCGTCTAATAGCGAGGACAACCATCATGTAGAGTGAATGAGTACAATTTAATATTACAGAATGGCATACTAAAGAAAAAAGACTAAGCATACATCCATCAGTGCACGGAATAAACCTACACTGATGACCTAGTGTAAAATTCTCAAAACAAGGAGTTACACTGCAAGATCAGTGTATTGGAAAATTTCACACTGGTAAGTGTTTTTGAAAAGGCCACACTGCCAATCGTGAGTTAGCCAAAACCAAACCTGAGCCCTGCACCTGACATACCAGTACATTGGTAACAGAAACACAAAGAACCGTTGCCGCAAGAATCATATCCATATCCACCATTCAGAGAGGAAGCTTCATCATCAACATCAATGGGCACGACAACAGTCCCTTCCTTTGCTGTCCGAAATGTACAGTAAGTCGTTTCATTCAGAATCTTCCTCTGCCCGCAGCATTGGTGTACCTTCCCCTCCCTGCCCATGTGCACCTGAGCCTGATGCTGTTGTGCTGAGCTCACTCGCTCCTGTCTGACGGAAACGGCCAGGCAACAGACCAGGAGGGAGGGAGGGGAGGGGGTAAGGGAGGGAGAAAGGAAAGGGGAGGGAGCGAGGGAGGGAGGGAGGGAGGGAAGGAGGGAGGGAGGAGAGGGATTAGCAGAGACAATGCAGGCAGGCAGGCAAGGGGAGAATGTGGGAAGACGGCAAGTGACAAGAAGGATCAAGAAAAGGCAGGGATGACGGATGTGGGGCGGAAGGTGTGTATGGGACCCCAGACACAAGCAGAGGGGAGGTGGCAGAGCGGAGACTTCAACGAGTGCTTTTGAGACGTCTGAAAACATGAGTGAAGGCTTTGTGGTGTATGCGACACACTAGAGAAGAATGGGATTATTATCTCAGTGGCAGGGGCAAGGAGCGGCAGCAACAAGGGAGTGGATCAGCAGCAGCAGGGCACGGAGCAGCAGCAGGAAGCAAGGCGGAGTGACCCACCATGCTCTGTTTGTACAGTCCGGTAGCCAGCAAGGCGGGCAGCAAGGGAGCGCAGGCGGAGACGGGACGAGAGCAGCAGCAGCACGAGAGGCAAGAGCGTGAGAGCCGCCGCCACCGCCAACACAGACGAAGAGGGCACCGTCAGATGAACCAGATCTGAGAAGTCCCTCCCTGTCCCCTCTCCTCCAAACCCATCCCTGCTGCTGCCGCTGCTGCTTGCACCAGCGCCTCCATGCGTGTTGCCCCCGTCCGTGCTCTCTTGCATCTCTTCCCACCGTCCTTGCTTCTGGCCCTGTGCCTGCCCCTGCTGGTGGCTGCTGCCTGTGGTGCTGCCTGCTGTGGTGCCTGTGAAGAGAGAGCAGTCTGCGGAGGTAAAGAGGCGATCACAGATGCACGTGCCGGTTGCCACGTTGCATGTGCCCGACCCACTGTGAGGGGAGAAGAACGAGGAGGGGAAGGGAAGGGGCAAGGGATGGAAGGGGATGAGGAGGTGGGATCGCCATGCTCGAGTATATTAAGATGCAACCATTAAATGCGCATACGGGAGAAAGGATTTTGAGGCGAATAAAAAAAAGGCACACAGAAGAAAGGCGGGGGCAGGGAAGGAGAATGAGGAGATATGAGGCAGGCACACATGTGTGGTTACGGTGGAGAGGGAGGGAGGGAGGGTGAAAAGGAGGAGAAAGAGAGGCATGCTCGCATAGCAAATTGCTGATGGCCTCGCACTACCACCATATTCTCTCCCTTACAGACACCACCTCTCTTCCCATCATAACACATACCACAACAATCCCCACCCAGAACCATCCTCACCTGCACTCGTTCGGACACAGCTTCGGCACAGCCAGCACTTTCAAGAACCCCCAAAGGTGATTCCTCCAACCAGCCCCCTCTACCTCCTCTTTTGTTCCTCACCTGCAGTCGTTGGGACACAGCTTCGGCACAGCCAGCAGCTTCCTCCTCCCCTCCCTTGCCTCCTCTGGCTCCCTCTGCCCCGCACCCAGCACCCAGAACCGCCCCCCAGCAGACAGCCCCAGCACCTCAGGCTGCTCCTGTAGAAACGCCTTGGCGGGGGGGAGGGCGAAGGCCCCACTGCCATCATCCTTCACTTACAAAAGTCACCTCTCCCCCCAACAAACACATACCACAACAACCCCACCCTAAACCATCCTCACCTGCAGTCGTTGGGACACAGCTTCGGCACAGCCAGCAGCCTCCTCCTCCCCTCCCTTGCCTCCTCTGGCTCCTCTGCCCCGCACCCAGCACCCAGAACCGCCCCCCAGCAGACAGCCCCAGCACCTCAGGCTGCTCCTGTAGAAACGCCTTGGCGGGGGGGAGGGCGAACGCCCCTGAGGTGACTGCCATGGCTTGGTAGGAGACGGTGTGCGTGCCGGCGGGGAGAAAAGGGAAGGCGAAGCGCACGTGGGAGGGGCGTGTGGTGCGCGAGTGCCAGGGGGACCACCAGAGGGACCAGAGGGACGTGGGGTTGCTGTCAGGGGTGGTTTGCCTGGACAGAAGTAGGGGGGGAAGGGATGCGAGTGGGTGAGAAGGAGGGGGGAGAGGGTTAGTGGAGGGAGAGGCGTGTGGTGCGCGAGTGCCAGGGCGCCCACCAGAGGGACGTGGGGTTGCTGTCGGGGGTGGCTTGCCTGGAAAGGGAAGGGGAGGGGTGGAGAGAGGACGGAATTGAATGGGACAGAGAAGGGAGGGGAGAAGGGGGTAAGGGTAGGGAGGGGTGCGTGGTGAGGGAGGAGAGGTGAGCGTGGGAGAGAAGCGGAGGTGGGGGGAGGTAAGGAGGTGGAGAACGGGGGAAGGTGAGGGTGGAGAAGGCAGGGTGAAATTTCATAGCAAAGGATCAACAGGGAAGATGGGTTCGGTTGGGATGGGATGGGATGGGATGGGATGGGACGTGACGGCATGGGACTGCATGGCATAGGCGGGGAGGGCGCACCGTTGCGAGGGCAGGTCCGGGTCGAGGGGTTCGAGGCCGGCAGGAAGGAGGTCGAGGATGACGAGGTTGCGCACATCATCTGGTGTTGTCACCTGGATGGTCACCGTCACCACCACTCCCACTGGCGCCTGGTGGTGGTGGGAGGAGGGCGGGAGGGAGAACGGAGGGAGCGAGGAGTGGGGAAGGATGAGCGAAAGGGTGAATGGGAAGCAGGGAAACTGGAACAGGACAAAAGGCAGGGAGGATGAGCAGGGAAGCTTTGCTAACTCCAATGGTGCATGCAGAATGCGAAGGTGGTGCTGTGATGGTGCTGAGATGGTGCTGTGATGGTCATGTAATGGTCATGTGATAGTCATGTGATGGTCATGTGATGGTCATGTGATGGTCATGTGATGGTCATGTGATGGTCGGTCATGTGATGGTCATGTGATGGTCATGTGATGGTCATGTGATGGTCGGTCATGTGATGGTCATGTGATGGTCATGTGTCATGTGATGGTCATGTGACGGTCATGTGATGGTCATGTGATGGTCATGTCATGGTCATGTCATGGTCATGTGATGGTCATGTGATGGTCGGTCATGTGATGGTCATGTGATGGTCATGTGATGGTCATGTGATGGTCATGTGATGGTCATATGTCATGTGATGGTCATGTGACGGTCATGTGATGGTCATGTGATGGTCATGTCATGGTCATGTCATGGTCATGTGATGGTCATGTGATGGTCGGTCATGTGATGGTCATGTGATGGTCATGTGTTGGTCATGTGTTGGTCATGTGATGGTCATGTGATGGTCATGTGATGGTCATGTGATGGTCATGTGATGGTCATGTGATGGTCATGTGATGGTCATGTGATGGTCATGTGATGGTCATGTGATGGTCATGTGATGGTCATGTGATGGTCATGTGATGGTCATGTGATGGTCATGTGATAGTCATGTGATGGTCATGTGATGGTCATGTGATGGTCATGTGATGGTCATGTGATGGTCATGTGATGGTGGTCATGTGATGGTCATGTGATGGTCATGTGATGGTCATGTGATGGTCATGTGATGGTATGGTCATGTGATGGTCATGTGATGGTCATGTGATGGTCATGTGATGGTCATGTGATGGGTCATGTGATGGTCATGTCATGGTCATGTGATGGTCATGTGATGGTCATGTGATGGTCATGTGATGGTCATGTGATGGGTCATGTGATGGTCATGTCATGGTCATGTGATGGTCATGTCATGGTCATGTCATGGTCATGTGATGGTCATGTGATGGTCGGTCATGTGATGGTCATGTGATGGTCATGTGATGGTCATGTGATGGTCATGTGATGGCCATGTGTTGGTCATGTGATGGTCATGTGTTGGTCATGTGATGGTCATGTGATGGTCATGTGATGGTCATGTGATGGTCATGTGATGGTCATGTGATGGTCATGTGTCATGTGATGGTCATGTGATGGTCATGTGATGGTCATGTCATGGTCATGTGATGGTCATGTGATGGTCATGTGATGGTCATGTGATGGTCATGTGATGCTTTGCTGGATGGCTGCTTGGAGCTGGAAATACGGGGAGCTGAGATGCTTGGGGCAGAAAAACCACGACGAGAGGTTGACGGGAGCTTGCTTGCTACCAAGAGCATATCAGAAAATGCTTAGGTCAGTGGGGGCAGAAATGAGGACAAGAGAGTGTGGAGGCGTGGGAGAGAGAGAGAGAGAGCAGAGACAAAGAAAAGAGCTAAAAAAGCATGGAGGGAGTGTCCCAGGCAGGCAACATACAGAGGAAGTGGGTGTGGAGGATGGCATTTGCAGCAACGGAGACGTTGTGTCCGTGGCAGCACCAGCCTCAGCACCTGCAGCTTTGAAGGCGAACATCTTCTCGACATAGAGGCCTCGGTATGTGGGGAAGGGGAGGATGCTGCCTGGTATGAACGACAGTGCCACTGATACTGACACCTGATGGGGGCGGAGGGGAGAGGACAGGACGGAAAGACAAGGGAAGGAACAAGAAGGGACGGGGGAGACAGGAGTGGGGAAGAGGACAAAAAGGGTGAGGACAGACAACAGCGTAAACACTGGAGTACAGTGCACTGGACTGGAGTATAGAAAAAAAATGTGAGGGAGGGTGTTACCTCGCCTGTGCCCTGTGCGTCAATGAGCAGAGAGGAAGGCACATGGCCAGCAGCAGTGGCCCACGGCACAGACGCAGACACAACGGCTGCTCCCCCTCCCGCTCCTGCTGCTGCTCCTGCTGCTGTGGCTGCTGATTGCGCATCAAGCCCTGTTGGAGAGAACACGTGCGAGAGAATGGTGGTCGCACTGCCACTAGCTGCTTCCCCCCTCCCAGCAGAGTCAGCAGAGTCAGCAGAACCAGCAGAACCAACAGAACCAGCAGCAGCAGAGGCGGTGGAGACAGGTCCAGAGGAGACAGTGAGGGCGAGGTGCGGGGCCGTGCTGCCGCGCTGCATGTCGTAGCGCGTGAGGGCGAGCGCAGAGAGAGCGTTCTCCGCCCATGCGCCATAGGCTGTTGCCGATGCACGGTCCGTGCCGGCTACGTGGTTGGCTAGCTTTTCAACCAGGGGCGAGTCACAGCCCGTCTGCAGAGGGAGACCGTAGAGGCAAGGCAAGCGTCAGGGACAGGGGCAGGGGGACGGGCGAAGTCTGAGATTTGGCATGTGGAATGGATCAAGAAAGGTTCCCGTCCGTGCCGGCCACGTGGTTGGCTAGCTTCTCCACCAGGGGCGAGTCACAGCCCGTCTGGAGAGGTGAGGCAAGGCAAGGGGCAGGGGCAGGGGCAGGGGCAGGGGCAGGGGCAGGGGCAGGGGCAGGGGCAGGGGCGGCAGTGGCAGGGCAGGGATAAAGGCAAGGACAGGGGCAAGGGGAAGATGCGTTATGATGATAAAATGGGTGCGGGCTGCTTAGTTCCTCCTATGGTGGTTACACCCCAGCATGCACCGCAAAGCACCACACCACACCACAACCCACCACACCCCACAGCTCTCCACCGCACCCCACGCCCAACCAGACCGCACAGCACCCATCGCACCTCCACGAGAAGCAGCAGAGCGAGCGCATTAGCAGTTCCCCCGGCTGAGAAAGGAGAGCCAGCAGCAGCAGTGACATACGCCGTGCGACCCAGCACCCTCATGCTGTTGAGCGTCCATGTCACCGCCAACCCCACCGCCTCTGCTGCTTCTGATTCTGCCACTCCGTGCCCCCCGCTGCTGCTGCTGCTGCTGCTGCTTCGAAGGAGAGCAGCAGGGTCTTGGTTTCCTTCTTTTGCTTCGAGAACAAAGGCCAGTGCTGCGCAGAGCTTGCCGAGAGGAGAGAGGCTGGCAAAGCGGTGCTTGAGGGACGTGAAGAGGAGCGGGGAGACGCGCGCAGCTGTGAAAGGAGAGGAGGGAGGGAGGGAGGGAGGGAGGGAGGGAGGGAGGGAGGGAGGGAGGGAGGGAGGGAGGGAGGGAGGGAGGGAGGGAGGGAGGGAGGGAGGGAGGGAGGGAGGGAGGGAGGGAGGGAGGGAGGGAGGGAGGGAGGGAGGGAGGGAGTGGGAGGAGTGGGACGGAAGAGGGGGGCACGTAACGGTGTTGGTTGGTTCAAGGATGGATACACGCGTGCACACATGCACCCACGCACGTACACATGCACACAGATGCACGCACGCGCACGTGCACGCACGTACACACATATGGGACGACGACACACACGCATCCTCTCAGCAAGAGCACCAACCTCGAGCAAGCGAAGGCGGGGACGTGCCGAGGCCCAGCCAGAGGTAAGGAACGAGCTCCCAGTCAAAATAGAGCAGGCGGCGAGACGACGGTGATGAACCAACGCCCTCCTCTGGCGCAACCCACGCTGGTTCTGGCATAGCTCTTCCAATCTCCACACCCACCGCCCCTCCCATCTCCACGCCGCCTATCGCCCCTGCCATTCCCCCTCCGGTTACCCCTCCCACCTCCCCTTCAAATGCTGGTTTGCCAATAACGGCTCCCCCAAGAGCAGCCTCCTGGCCTTCCCATCCCCTCCCTGCCTGCCCCTCAAATCCCACCGTTCCAATCACACTGCTCGCCACACCCCCTGCTTCTCCCGCCTCTCCCGCCTCTCCTCCCTCCAAGGACTCAGCAGTAGCTGCTGACTCCCCCTCGTCGCCCTCCTCCTCTTCTTCCTCCCTCTCCTCCTCTGCTGGGTCATCAGCGGGAACAGCTCGAGCCACAGCAGCAGCAGGCCTGGGTTCTCCGGGAATCACTTCGCCCTCGGGAAGACGAGCCCAGAGCAGGCGACGATGTGCAAAGGCAGAGGAGGAGACGACAGCAGCAGAAGCAGAAGCAAACGATGATGATGATGATGATGACGATGATGATACCACTGAGTCTCCCAACTCCCTGCCCTCCAAATCCTGCTTCTGCTTCCGCTTCTGCTGCTGCTGCTGCTGCTGTTGGTGCTGCTTCTCCTCTTCTTCCTCGTCCTCCTCCTTCCCCTCGCCCTCACCCCCTTCCTCCTCGTCCACAATCCCGTTCTCCTCCTTCCGCTTCCTCTCCCGCCTCTCCTCCTCCTCAACCTCTCGGCTCATCTGCTCCTTGGCACGCCGCTCCATCTCGCCCAAAACCCCCTCCAGAGCGGCCCTCCATTTGCCAGTCACAGATTGGGGGATGGGGGATGAGTTCAAAAGGGAGAGGTAGCGGGAAACCATGATGCCGTAGGCGTTGAGAGGGATATCGGTGTATCGGTTGGGGGTAGGTGAGAAGGGATCGTCCACGAGGCCTGCAGGGGGGTGGATGCAGGTGTAGGAGAGGAGGAAACAAACAAGTGACAAAACAAAACAAACAAGAACGTGGCACGGTGTGTGTGACAGAGCATGCAGAGCAGACAAACTGGATTGTGGCGCGGAACGAGTGAGCACCAGAAGGAAAGCGAGGGGGACGTACCGCAGCACTGCAGCGTGTAGGATTGCAGGCGTGCACGAGCTAACGCATCCGCACTCCTCGCTTCACTCAACACTGCGCTCCCTCCTCCCGCACCGCCCGCACCAGCAGCACCTGCTGCTGCTGAAAATAGCGACTTGAAAGACGACCACGCAGACTGAGCCGCGGAGGAGGGCGAAGTGGCGGAATCGTATTGGTGGAGGAGTGCGGAGGGGAGGAGGAACCAGAGGAGGTGTGTGGCGGAGGGGTAGGGCTGGTCGGCCCAGGTGTTGAAGTGGAGGAGCGAGGAGGAGAGCTGTAGCACTGCTGGCAGGCGGCCCACTCTGGGGGTGGGGGATGGAACAGGGAGAAACAGGGATAACAGAGGGAATCTTTGAGTCAACTTAAAGGGATCAGGTTAGGTGGGTGGCGGAGGGGTATGGCTGGTCGGCCCAGGTGTTGAAGTGGAGGAGCGAGGAGGAGAGCTGTAGCACTGCTGGCAGGCGGCCAACCCTGGAGGTGGGGGAAGGTGCAAGGAGGAAATGGGGAAGACAGGGGGAGATATTTGAAACTCAGGGGGAAGGGGAGAAAGGGGGAGTCATGATGGTTAGGAAACAGGCAAAGTTGGAAGGCTGACAGGTTGAAAGAAGTGGCTCATGAGGATACGAGGAGAGCAGCAAGAGTACTGGTCCATCCAGGTATATGGAAGGCACAACGAACTTGTCGGCATGCAAGGACTGGAAGGCAAGAGGAGGAAAGCGAAGTAAAGCGAAGAGCCTGACATGATACTTACCCTGCAGTGACGTTCAGCTGGGCGCTTCCTGGGAGAACATCACTTGGCAGGGCGATTTGCTCCTGCCACTGCCCTGCCAGTCCCGCAAAGCCCCCTGGCTGCGCATCCCCATCCGCAGCAGCAGCAGCAGCAGCAGCAGCAGCAGCAGAGTTGGAGACAGGTGCATGGCCTTGCACTGCAACACTGCTTGCCACTGTCACGTCCTCCTGCACTCCCTCCACTTGCAGTGGCACCACCAGCACTGGGAGAGGAGAACGATGGGGGCAGGGCGGGGCACGGGGGCACGAAATGAGCTTAACAGGAATGTAAGAAACGCCAGCCCACGAACTGCTGATTTATTTATTAATCTTTTAGGAAGCCGTACGATGGATCAAGACGGAGAAACACACACACATCATCCCCTCTCTTCCCTTCTCCCCACAACATCCCCCCAACCCCCCCCCTCCCCCCCCCCCCCCTCCCCCCTCCTCCCCCACCCTTCAACCACATCATCCCCCATTCCTTTCATTCCAACACACGCAAAAGGATACTGGATAGCGCAGGGAAAAATGTAGGAGGAGGGAGGACGTAGAGAGCGAGGTGAAGCGTGGCAATACCATCAGGAGGAAGGCCGGGTGACTGCACGGTGAAGGAGAGAGCGACAGCCCCCACCACTGATGCTTCCAGGTTGAACCTCACCTGTCAAAGTTTGCATGGTGAAGTGAACACACACAGCACAAGCGAACACACACACAAACGATCACACACACCCATACACGGGTGCAGCGCATTGGTTGTGTGGATAGGGAATGCAGGGTGGTGGTAATAAGAGAGGGAGGACTCTGTTCTATGGATGCAGGAGGGCAGGAGGAAGGCAGCACAGGAGAATCCGGAGTCCAAAAGTGGTGAGGGGTTTGAAGAAATGCGGGTGGGAGTGGGACTGCGTGGGAGTGAATGTAGGTGGAAGAGGGAGTGAGAGCGGGTTGGGGGTGGAAGCAGAAGCGGGCAGGGTGGTCGGGGAGAGCAGGGAAGGGAGAGAGGAAGAAGATGATTGCCCGATAGATAGATCATACCTCCAGAGGGCCCGTTGGGAAGACCTTGTCGTCTTTCTCATTCAGTCCCACCACCTGCACCACACCCCTCCTGCCACTCATCGCATCACCACTCCCATCGGCAGGATCAGACGACACAGGCGCCACCACAGCAACAGACACTGTCACTGGCATCCCCGCTCCCTCTTTCGCACCATCCCCAACCCCTGCTGCTCCTGCTTCTCCTGCTCCTCCACTCCCTGCCCCTGCCTCCCGCATTGAATCAGCCAGGGTTTGATCGAGATTGACTGTGACGCCTGCTGTGAATTTATCCCCTGCTCGCACCATGCGAGGCACAGACCGGACCAGGGCGAGCGGGCGAGACGCCACTAGCTCCGTCTCCGCTGCTGCGAACCTGCTGCTGGCTCCGGTGACAGCGTAGGCCCGGAGAACGAACGTGGAGATGGAGTCTGGAAGGCGGAATCGGAACGTGGCAGTGGCAACACGGGAGGGGGAGGTAGAAGATGAAGGCGAGGAGGAGGAAGAGAAGGAAGAGGTGGTGATGGGTGCGGTGGCAGTGCGGCAGAGAGGAGTGATGGTGAAGTTAGTGCGTTTCTTGGCAAGAGCCAGTGCAGAACCACCAGCACCAGCACCAGCAGCACCAGCAGCGTCACGTGAACCACCACCAGGAGCATCGATCAGGGCGATCTCAGCAATAGAAGAAGACTCAAGGCGAGCATCCATAGCGGCCATTTTAGGCATGGCTGCTCGCATCATCATCGCCCCGCCGTTCCCCGCAGCACCTCCAGCACCAAAGGACTGGACAGAAGCAGCACCCACTCGAGAGACTGAGTCCATTGCCATAGCAGTGGCCATGGCGAATCCCCGCTTGCCTCGGCCCCTGCCGTACCTGCCGTGCAGCATCGGGCCGTCAGCTTCGGCTCCTGAGAGGCAGGGGAGGTTGGGGTGGAGTGGGGCAGATAGGTGTTGAGTGAATCTTTCAGCTGCATTGGTGTGAAGCAGAGACATGGGGGTTGGGAGGCAACGTAGCCTGCGGTCATTCAACCATTGCCGCATTCGTCAATCTTTGTACTTATTGCTGCTGCTGAAATTTTCAGATAAGAATAAAAAGAGCACAGGCAGCAGCAGCGGCACCTTGGGTGAAGTTATCAGCGATGGAGTTGAAGCAGAGCTCCTGAGAGGAGGGCAAGCCGCCTGCTGCTCCCATCCACCACTGCGAGCGAACACTGCTGCCCATCCAGTCAGACGGCCTGCACTCACAACCCGTCAGCAGGGCACACAGCAGCAGCGTCAGCAGCAGCAGAAGTGGTGGCAGCGGCGGTAACAGGTGATGTGGTGTGGAGTGGATAAGCCTTTTGCAGTTGTTGATACAAATCCAATGAGGGATGCAGTGCGGTAAGCTCGAGTGGGAAGTGTTGAGCATGGCAAGGGGTAAGAAGGCAGGAGAGGAGGGGCGAAAGCGAAGAGGAGCCTGTGGGGGGTGTCTGGAAGGACAGCTGTAGTGAGCACATATGAGCAACCCACTTGCTACTGTTGTGAAGGCAAAGAGCGTACAGCAGCCACGGCAAAGCAGTGCCACCTGCTGCAGCCAGGGGTTCTCCCAGGGGCAAGCACTGCCACTTGCACTGCTCCCCTGCACAGGTTTTTTAGGCGCCTTGACAAGCAAGCACTTACTGCAGCCAGGGGTTGTTGTTGCGCCGGCGGCGGTACGCCTGTGCCAGGGCGTGGATGGTGGAGGGCTTGAGCATGGCGTCGTGAGACAGCACAGCCAGGGAGGGCGATGCGTAGAACTGGGTCACTGGGTTGAGCTCAGCCGTGGGGTCTGACAGCGGGTGTGGCATCTGGTGCAGGGGAGGCGGGCGGCAGGAGGGGAGGGGAGAGACGGGAAGACGAGAGAGGTGGAAAGTGAGGCGGCTTGAACAGCGTCTTTCATGTCAGGCGAAAGGCAAGTTGGGCACGTCAGGCTACCAGCCTCATGTGCCTTGTAGCACAGCACGTGCTGGTGCTGGTGCTGGTGCTGGTGCGAGGAAGAGACTCACCAGGTCGAGGAAGGCCTTGTCGACTGCCACGAGCAGCACCTGCACGTCCGGGTCTGATACATGCGCATGGCCCTGGGGAGTCCCGTCCAGCCCTGTCACTCGCACTGCCACTTCCACCTCACTGCCTGCTGACACGTGGCCTGAGGGCGCTCCCTGTGATGGACACGGGATGAGGAGAGGAAGGAAACGAGGAGCAGGGTGTTGGAGCAGAGATGAAAGCGCACACCAAGCCTGATTCAAGGAGGTGGAGGAGGTGTGGTTGGAAGGGGTTTTCAGGTTCAGGGTTGTGAGAGAGAGGAATGTGGGTGGACCAAGGTGTGGTGAAGTGTGGGGAGAAGATGTGAAAGGAGGAGCGATACTACACATGTGAAGGAGATAACACGAATGCAGAAAGAGGGGAAGTGAGGGAGCGGGAGATAAGGGGTTGAGGGGAAGAAGGGTTGAGTGGGGAAGTGGAGGCAGAAAAAAAGGCGTGGATGTGGGTGGGGGGCGGCGCGGAAGAGACAATGAGAGAAGAGGGAACAGAACTTACAATGTCAAGCGAGAGGCGAGGAGGAGGAGTCGGCGTGACGCGGAGAGCCAGGTGCAGCGTGAACGATGACGGCCCTGCAAGGTCAGCAATCACAGTAGTCGGCACCTTCTCTGCTGCCCCTCCCTGCAACGGGTGAGAGGCCTGTCGAGGAGACACCACCACCACCGTCGCCGCACACCCTGGCGGCCCACTCCCAAGTGAACTCCCAGCAGACACACTCCCAGGTGCGCTTGCACCTGTGCTGCCAGATACCCTCCTCCTCCCGCCACACCTCTCATCTACAACCACTGGAAGCTCCACCATTCCTCGCGCCAGCCCGCTGTGCAGCTCCCGCCACACCTCAGCCTTGGCTCCCTGGCCGGCTGTGACTTGCACGAGGGCTGATGCCCCCTCGTATGGGTTCTCGAATCGGAGCGTGGCTGTTTCGCCTGGAAGGTAGGAGGGCTTGTTGAAGGTGGCGGTGGGTGGGGGGAGGGAGAAGAGAGGACAGGCCTGCCACTCCTGTGGGAGATCATGAAGAGGGGTGGACAGGGTTGCAGAGAAGGGAAGTATGTGGGAGTCGGGATAGGAGGTATTGGATGAAAACGAAAAGGGAGGCGGAGGAAGAACATCTAGAAAAAGGGAAAGGACAAGCAGAGAGGAAAAAGGTGAGAAACCGCAGAAATGAGAGAAGCTGAGAGGATGGTGGAGAGGCAGCAGAGAGGAGAGCGGACCTGGAGGGTTCTGCCAATGCGCCTAGAGGTGCATGCCTTCGTCCCCTCATGGTCTGTGATGCATGCGAGAAGCCGAGCCCGTCCCACATCCGGCAACACAAACGCACACCCAGAAACCACCTCCCCCACCCCTTCCGCCCCTGCCGCCCCTGCCGCCCCTGCCGCCCCTGCTGCAGCACCAGTGGCAGCAGAAGCAGTGTCCGAACTCGCAGTGGAGGGTAGAGTGACGTTGCAGGAGGAGACCTTGCGTTCTTTCCATGAGACAACTGCTCCTGAGGCGTCTGTGACAGTGCGATTCAGCACCAGCGACAGCGTCACAACCGACGGAGCAGAACCCGCAGCAGCACCACCACCACTGCCGGTGCTCGTGGAAACAGCACCACCAGGAGCAGCAAAACGCGCTGGCATGTCCGAAACAGCAACATCGCCGCCATACCCCACAGCATCATCATCCATGCCTCCAGCAGCAGCAGCGGAGTCGAGCAGAGAGAAGAGGCGCGCAGAGGCGTGAAAGGGTTGACCCGGCACAGGGTCGCGCACAGAGAGAGCAACGCGCGTGGACCAGGACGTGAGAGCCACAGGGAGGGTTGTGGAGTCGGAGAGGAGCTCTCTGGTGGGCCCTACCCACTCTGCTGTGAGGGAGAGAGATCCCACCTGGAAGAGGAAGTGCAGGGAATGGGGGATGGAGGGGGAGAGGACAGTGTTGGCCCAGGACGCGCGTGGACCAGGAAGTGAGGGCCACGGGGAGGGTTGTGGCGTCTGAGAGGAGTTCTCTGGTGGGCCCTACCCACTCTGCTGTGAGGGAGAGAGACCCTACCTGGGGGATGCAGAAGGGAAAGGAGGGAAAAGGTTCGGGAGGAGAAGGGAGAGAATAGGGAAAGGATGCGAAGGGAGGTGGCGTGAGAAGGGGCTTTGCTGGGAATTTGAAAAGCAAGTGGAATCGAAATGGGAGAGTATAAAAAGTCCAGAGCTGGGGCTTTATGGAATGGGAAACGGGGAGGGAGGGGTTGGCGGGTTGGCGTCAGTCTGTAAGGATTCAAAGTGAGTTCGGTGGGCAGGCAAGGAGAGTGAGGGGGGGGGGGGAGCCAGCACTGTGGCGTGGCGTGGTGTATGTATGCACAACAACACACAGCCCCACCATACCTGTGTCCTGGTGGGGTCAGCAAGGGCAGCATCGATATCCAGTACTGCCACGCCCACGCCACTGCTGTTGGTACGCACAACCACCACTCCCGACTCACACACCCGGCTCACAAACCGATTCCCCCGCACATACCCACTCCCCGCCTCCTTCGCCCCTCCGTTCCCGCTTCCACCCCTACACTCCGCTGCCTTCCCCTCCTCCAATCCTCCTGCCTCTGACGAAACCGTCTCACTCCCTCCTCCTCTTCCTCCTCCTCTTCCTCCTCCCCACCAACGGGTCATCGACCATCCCAGGTCCTCTCCCCCGTCCTCCTCAGCCCTGTCATATGCAAACTGCCATGACACCTTCACCTCTTCTCCTGCCACAGGTCCTCCTATGTATGTTCGCGTGGTAACCACCACCTCCACCCCCCGCCCAATCCTCGCCACAGCATCAGAGGTGGAGAGAGAGAGAGTCACTGTAGGAGGCCGGGGGTCGCTGATTTGGAAAGAGGCGTATCCGTCTACCCACAGGTTGTTGCCTCCCTGCCAGGCTAGCTCGAGTTGGAGAGAAGCAGAGCCGGTATCGGTGGTGGTAGGGAGCGGGATGTCTGCTTGGAAGGTGCCGAATTGCGGGTGTATGGTGATGGGGATGCGCTTGAGGGTTTCCGAGTTGGGGAGGCTGCAGCTTAGGACGAGGCGGACGGATGGCTTGGGAAGGAGGAGCTGCAGTAAAGGGGGTGGGGAGGAGGGGAGGAACGGAGAGCAGGAGAGTGTGGGAGGGAAGTGGGAGCAGGAGGTTATAGGGAGTAGAGGGAGGATGTGTTAGCAGGGGCGGGTACAAGGGAAGGATTGGAACGAGGAAGTGGACAATTCTAAGTGGAGCAGACTGCGCAAGGCGGAATTAAGACCATGGGGAAAGCGAGGGGGGGGGAAGAAGAGAGATGCACACCTTGCCGTCAGGGCCAGGTTATCTGAGAACGCCAAAGACATGCACGGTGTCCCCAAACCCAAAGCAGTATGACAGAGCAATCCAGCACTAGCGAGCAACGCGTGCAGAGGGGAGCTTTAAGACGACTAGAAAGCACACCTTGCCATCAGGGCCAGGCTGTCTGAGAACGCCAAAGACATGCACAGTGTCCCCAGGGCGGTACAGCGAGCGATCCAGCACTAGAGATCCATGCAGAGGGGACTGTGATGCGGAAGACTCTGAGGAATCATAGCCTCCACAGGGTAGGGTGAAATCTTGGAGCAGCATGAGACGCTGGGATGAGGAGGAGGAAGAGGAGGAAGTGGAGGAGCGGGAGGAATAGGCGACGGATGCCTGTACTGATGCTCTGCCGCAGAACTCAGGAGGCACAGCTGCAAGGGACGGGGTTGTGACAAAAAGTGGAGGGGCAAAGAAGTGGGCGAAAGGCCGTGGGGAGGGGAGAATGGGCATGGAAAGGGAAGCAGGAGCCAGGGCGATTTGGGGGGGGGAGGAGAAATATGAGGGGTTCTGAGGATACGAACTTCATGGGTCAGACACACAGTGATGAGTTCAGCGTTGATTCTGTTACATTGCAGCTGCGAGAAACAGGAACATTGCAGGGATTCTTCTCAGGCCTTCGATTTCAAAAGGTGGCACCAAGGGGAGAATATATGCAGAAGGGTAGAGTGTGATAGTACTTGGAAGAGCCAGCAGCACAATGCCGGATTTGTCAGTCTTGCCCATGACTGTATCCAACGTCAATGGAGAGCTACCAACGACCTGGCGGGGGGGGAACGCACACCAGCAGACATGCACGAGGCGAGCGGGGTGCAAATGACTAAAAATCAGATGCATTACTACAAATTCGCCTTGCAGACCTCAGGGGGAAGCAGAGACACAGTGGCTCCCTCAACAGGGCTTGCGTCAGTGATCCACGTGACTCTTGCAGCGTGTGTGAAAGGGTTTGTGTGTGGTCATTACAGGAGGGAGAGAGGGACTTTCTTTCTTGGCGAGACGTGCATGATGCATTACTATAAAGTCACCTTGTTGTTGTCTGCAGAGGGAAGCAGAGACACAGTGGCTCCCTCAACAGGGCTCGCATCAGTCAACCATGTGACCCATACCACAGCATGCTTCTCCCCTGCCTGCATCATCACAGCAGCAACTTCCGTTTCCGCCACCACCGCCGAAGGCTGCGACAGCTCCTGCACCCCACGCTTGCCCCGCCTCTTGCCCCCTCCAACAAAGCGACCAGGGACATCACCATATGCATCCGCTGCAGCATCCGCAGCAGCAGCAGCAGCGTCAGAGTCGGCATCAGTGCTTATGTCTCTATCCGAGTGGATGCAGCCGGAACCACGGATGGCGAACATGCCGGATGGGGCGAGGAGAGAGGAGCCGTTGAGAGTAGGCGAGGAGAGGGAGAAGCCTCCCAGGGTGCTGTTGAAGTGGAAGCGGGAACTGGAGGCGGATGAAGTGCAGGGAGTCACAGCAAACGCGGACCAAGATGCTGACGGGGAGGAGGAAGAGGAGGAGGAGGTTTTGGAGCCCTGCTGCTGCTGCTGCCATGGCTCTGTCTCTGCTGCTGGGCCAGATGCAAGCCAGGGGACGGAGAGAGCAGCAGAAGAAGCGGAGGAGGAGGAGGATGAGGAGAAGGATGAGAAGAGCGAGGAGGATGGGGAGGCAGGGGTGTTGGTGACCGGGAGAGAGGTGACGGGCCAGGCGAGGACAAGAGGGGGAGGCTTTTCTGAGCCCAGGTATGGCGGAAGCTGCAGAAAGAGAGGCCAGAGCCTGTCCCACGCCCCTGAGTTGTCACTGTTAGTGCTACCAGTGGTGGTGGAGGCATCAAGGAGAACGAGGGAGCGAGGCGCCAAGGCAAGGAAGGGTTCTAGGGGCTCGGTGGTGATGGCGATGCGGGAGGCGCGTAGAGGCAGGCCGAATCCGTCACGCACTGACGGGCATGCAGTTACTGTGAGAGTCTGCGGCGAGTTGGTGGGGGCCGTGGAAGAGGGGGGAACGGAAAGATGATGCTGTGCTTGTCTGTGAGAGTGTACATACGTGTGACAAGACGAGAGAGGTTGCAGGAGTAGGGGAGCGAGGGGTGTTACACGTGCGAAAAGTGGATGGGTAGAAGCAAGCAGCATGCAGTTAAGGACCAAGAGCTGATACTGGAGGGGAAGTATTTGGGTTTAATTTAGAGACACATACATATCGAGCATTGGCCTCTAACGGGGCGGAGAGAAGGAGAGAGCCGTTGGAGGGGCGGGAAAGGTCAAATGCCACAGCTTCTGCACCAGCAGCAGCAGCGCTATCTCCAGGTTTTGAGGCACTAGAGTGGAGCAGACTCAGGCACGACTTGAGATCAGAGAGAGGAGAAAGCAGCCCGTGTGGCAACGGCAGGGTTATCCTGCGCGACACCATGCTGCATTGCAATTGCACACCATGGAAAGGAAGAGCGCAGAGAGCAGAGAGCAGAAAGTCGGCAAGCAGGCATGCAGGCAGGCAAGCAGGCATGCAGGCAGGCAGAGGGACAGACAGACAGACAGAGAGACAGGCAGGCAGGTAGATGGACAGGATAACAGTGAGCCATGCGATATGCGCAAGAAAGAGAGAGGTGCAAGCACGGTGTAAGAAATGGATGGGAGATCACCCAGAACAAGGGAATGCAAGGAAGGCGATGGGAGGAGTTGGTAGTGTGGTCAAAACAGGAAACTGAATCAAAACACACAATTAAACAGAACACCAGAGCAGCAATGACCAAGCTCTTCAGATCGGCCCACCCACCTGAGAGTTGTCCCATCCTCCGATCCATCGGCCGTGATTCTAAACGGGTACGCGCCTCTCACTTCCACCACGAGCGGCTGCTTGAGAGGGCCCGCCTTGCCGTAGTACTTGCTGCCCCGGGGCATGACCACGTGGAAATCAGTGTCGGGAAGGAGAGGGCCCCACCCGGCAGTGGAAAGCTCGCTCACAGTGCTGCTGCTGAGAGAGAGGCTGTCCTTGCTCCAGTCAGACGCCACGGCTGCTGCTACGGCTGCTTTTCCTGAGGTTTCTATGCCAGTTGAGGCGCTTGTGAATGTCACGACTGCACAGCGATCGATGGTGTTGCTAGTGGTGCCAGTGGTGGTAGTGCCGGTGGTGGTGGAGTCAGCAGCAAGGGAGGCGAGGGAGATGGAGGAGTAGACGTCCCATGGGCAGGGCTTGACGTGGGTGGTCACACCCGGCACCACCTTGTTGGCCTTGGTGCGCAGCTGCGAGGGAGGAGTGGGGAAGGGGGGAGGGGGAAAGAGGCGGCAGGTTGGCAGAGGAAGAAGGTGTGGGAGATGAGCCGAATGGGAAGGGGAAAAAAAAGGAAAATGGGGCGACGCGCCTTGGTCCGGGGGCGCGCCTTGGTCCGGGGGCGCGCCTTGGTCCGGGGGCGCGCCTTGGTCCGGGGGCGCGCCTTGGTCCGGAGGCGCGCCTTGGTCCAGGCGCGCGCCTTGGTCCGGGGGCGCGCCTTGGTCCGGGGGCGCGCCTTGGTCAGGGGCGCGCCTTGGTCCGGGGGCGCGCCTTGGTCCGGGGGCGCGCCTTGGTCCGGGGGCGCGCCTTGGTCCGGGGGCGCGCCTTGGTCCGGGGGCGCGCCTTGGTCCGGGGGCGCGCCTTGGTCCGGGGGCGCGCCTTGGTCCGGGGGCGCGCCTTGGTCCGGGGGCGCGCCTTGGTCCGGGGGCGCGCCTTGGTCCGGGGGCGCGCCTTGGTCCGGGGGCGCGCCTTGGTCCGGGGGCGCGCCTTGGTCCGGGGGCGCGCCTTGGTCCGGGGGCGCGCCTTGGTCCGGGGGCGCGCCTTGGTCCGGGGGCGCGCCTTGGTCCGGGGGCGCGCCTTGGTCCGGGGGCGCGCCTTGGTCCGGGGGCGCGCCTTGGTCCGGGGGCGCGCCTTGGTCCGGGGGCGCGCCTTGGTCCGGGCCCGCGCCTTGGTCCGGGCCCGCGCCTTGGTCCGGGGGCGCGCCTTGGTCCGGGGGCGCGCCTTGGTCCGGGGGCGCGCCTTGGTCCGGGGGCGCGCCTTGGTCCGGGGGCGCGCCTTGGTCCGGGGGCGCGCCTTGGTCCGGGGGCGCGCCTTGGTCCGGGGGCGCGCCTTGGTCCGGGGGCGCGCCTTGGTCCGGGGGCGCGCCTTGGTCCGGGGGCGCGCCTTGGTCCGGGGGCGCGCCTTGGTCCGGGGGCGCGCCTTGGTCCGGGGGCGCGCCTTGGTCCGGGGGCGCGCCTTGGTCCGGGGGCGCGCCTTGGTCCGGGGGCGCGCCTTGGTCCGGGGGCGCGCCTTGGTCCGGGGGCGCGCCTTGGTCCGGGGGCGCGCCTTGGTCCGGGGGCGCGCCTTGGTCCGGGGGCGCGCCTTGGTCCGGGGGCGCGCCTTGGTCCGGGGGCGCGCCTTGGTCCGGGGGCGCGCCTTGGTCCGGGGGCGCGCCTTGGTCCGGGGGCGCGCCTTGGTCCGGGGGCGCGCCTTGGTCCGGGGGCGCGCCTTGGTCCGGGGGCGCGCCTTGGTCCGGGGGCGCGCCTTGGTCCGGGGGCGCGCCTTGGTCCGGGGGCGCGCCTTGGTCCGGGGGCGCGCCTTGGTCCGGGGGCGCGCCTTGGTCCGGGGGCGCGCCTTGGTCCGGGGGCGCGCCTTGGTCCGGGGGCGCGCCTTGGTCCGGGGGCGCGCCTTGGTCCGGGGGCGCGCCTTGGTCCGGGGGCGCGCCTTGGTCCGGGGGCGCGCCTTGGTCCGGGGGCGCGCCTTGGTCCGGGGGCGCGCCTTGGTCCGGGGGCGCGCCTTGGTCCGGGGGCGCGCCTTGGTCCGGGGGCGCGCCTTGGTCCGGGGGCGCGCCTTGGTCCGGGGGCGCGCCTTGGTCCGGGGGCGCGCCTTGGTCCGGGGGCGCGCCTTGGTCCGGGGGCGCGCCTTGGTCCGGGGGCGCGCCTTGGTCCGGGGGCGCGCCTTGGTCCGGGGGCGCGCCTTGGTCCGGGGGCGCGCCTTGGTCCGGGGGCGCGCCTTGGTCCGGGGGCGCGCCTTGGTCCGGGGGCGCGCCTTGGTCCGGGGGCGCGCCTTGGTCCGGGGGCGCGCCTTGGTCCGGGGGCGCGCCTTGGTCCGGGGGCGCGCCTTGGTCCGGGGGCGCGCCTTGGTCCGGGGGCGCGCCTTGGTCCGGGGGCGCGCCTTGGTCCGGGGGCGCGCCTTGGTCCGGGGGCGCGCCTTGGTCCGGGGGCGCGCCTTGGTCCGGGGGCGCGCCTTGGTCCGAGCGCGCGCCTTGGTCCGAGCGCGCGCCTTGGTCCGCGCGCGCGCCTTGGTCCGCGCGCGCGCCTTGGTCCGGGGGCGCGCCTTGGTCCGGGGGCGCGCCTTGGTCCGGGGGCGCGCCTTGGTCCGGGGGCGCGCCTTGGTCCGGGGGCGCGCCTTGGTCCGGGGGCGCGCCTTGGTCCGGGGGCGCGCCTTGGTCCGGGGGCGCGCCTTGGTCCGGGGGCGCGCCTTGGTCCGGGGGCGCGCCTTGGTCCGGGGGCGCGCCTTGGTCCGGGGGCGCGCCTTGGTCCGGGGGCGCGCCTTGGTCCGGGGGCGCGCCTTGGTCCGGGGGCGCGCCTTGGTCCGGGGGCGCGCCTTGGTCCGGGGGCGCGCCTTGGTCCGGGGGCGCGCCTTGGTCCGGGGGCGCGCCTTGGTCCGGGGGCGCGCCTTGGTCCGGGGGCGCGCCTTGGTCCGGGGGCGCGCCTTGGTCCGGGGGCGCGCCTTGGTCCGGGGGCGCGCCTTGTTCCAGGGGCGCGCCTTGGTCCGGGGGCGCGCCTTGGTCCGGGGGCGCGCCTTGGTCCGGGGGCGCGCCTTGGTCCGGGGGCGCGCCTTGGTCCGGGGGCGCGCCTTGGTCCGGGGGCGCGCCTTGGTCCGGGGGCGCGCCTTGGTCCGGGGGCGCGCCTTGGTCCGGGGGCGCGCCTTGGTCCGGGGGCGCGCCTTGGTCCGGGGGCGCGCCTTGGTCCGGGGGCGCGCCTTGGTCCGGGGGCGCGCCTTGGTCCGGGGGCGCGCCTTGGTCCGGGGGCGCGCCTTGGTCCGGGGGCGCGCCTTGGTCCGGGGGCGCGCCTTGGTCCGGGCGCGCGCCTTGGTCCGGGGGCACACCTTGGTCCGGGGGCGCGCCTTGGTCCGGGGGCGCGCCTTGGTCCGGGGGCGCGCCTTGGTCCGGGGGCGCGCCTTGGTCCGGGGGCGCGCCTTGGTCCGGGGGCGCGCCTTGGTCCGGGGGCGCGCCTTGGTCCGGGGGCGCGCCTTGGTCCGGGGGCGCGCCTTGGTCCGGGGGCGCGCCTTGGTCCGGGGGCGCGCCTTGGTCCGGGGGCGCGCCTTGGTCCGGGGGCGCGCCTTGGTCCGGGGGCGCGCCTTGGTCCGGGGGCGCGCCTTGGTCCGGGCGCGCGCCTTGGTCCGGGGGCACACCTTGGTCCGGGGGCGCGCCTTGGTCCGGGGGCGCGCCTTGGTCCGGGGGCGCGCCTTGGTCCGGGGGCGCGCCTTGGTCCGGGGGCGCGCCTTGGTCCGGGGGCGCGCCTTGGTCCGGGGGCGCGCCTTGGTCCGGGGGCGCGCCTTGGTCCGGAGGCGCGCCTTGGTCCAGGCGCGCGCCTTGGTCCGGGGGCGCGCCTTGGTCCGGGGGCGCGCCTTGGTCCGGGGGCGCGCCTTGGTCCGGGGGCGCGCCTTGGTCCGGGGGCGCGCCTTGGTCCGGGGGCGCGCCTTGGTCCGGGGGCGCGCCTTGGTCCGGGGGCGCGCCTTGGTCCGGGGGCGCGCCTTGGTCCGGGCGCGCGCCTTGGTCCGGACGCGCGCCTTGGTCCGGGGGCGCGCCTTGGTCCGGGGGCGCGCCTTGGTCCGGGGGCGCGCCTTGGTCCGGGGGCGCGCCTTGGTCCGGGGGCGCGCCTTGGTCCGGGGGCGCGCCTTGGTCCGGGGGCGCGCCTTGGTCCGGGGGCGCGCCTTGGTCCGGGGGCGCGCCTTGGTCCGGGGGCGCGCCTTGGTCCGGGGGCGCGCCTTGGTCCGGGGGCGCGCCTTGGTCCGGGGGCGCGCCTTGGTCCGGGGGCGCGCCTTGGTCCGGGGGCGCGCCTTGGTCCGGGGGCGCGCCTTGGTCCGGGGGCGCGCCTTGGTCCGGGGGCGCGCCTTGGTCCGGGGGCGCGCCTTGGTCCGGGGGCGCGCCTTGGTCCGGGGGCGCGCCTTGGTCCGGGGGCGCGCCTTGGTCCGGGGGCGCGCCTTGGTCCGGGGGCGCGCCTTGGTCCGGGGGCGCGCCTTGGTCCGGGGGCGCGCCTTGGTCCGGGCGCGCGCCTTGGTCCGGGCGCGCGCCTTGGTCCGGTCGCGCGCCTTGGTCCGGGCGCGCGCCTTGGTCCGGGGGCGTGCCTTGGTCCGGGGGCGCGGGGGCGCGCCTTGGTCCGGGGGCGCGCCTTGGTCCGCGCGCACGCCTTGGTCCGCGTGCACATTTTGGCATGTGGAACGAGGCAAGGCACAGTACCTGAATGAGTTTGGGTAGTAGGTTGATGTCTACGAGCGAAGAGAACGAAAGGAGCAACCTGGCACAACGAGGAGGACAGACAGAGGGTAGGACAATGGACGGCAGGAGGAGCTTTGAGACGGCTCAAAGTGGGTGGAGGGAAGGAACTCAAGAGAGCAGGTGTAAGTTCAACCATTGACGAAAGCAAGTCGAGTATGAGAAGGAAGAAGCAAGAGCAACGTACGAACAAATAATAGAGAGGGATTCTCTCAGGCTGGGTTGAGGGGGTGTCGAGGGTGGGTTGAAAGGCAGAGAGGAGGTGGGTGGGAGGGAGAGTTAAAGGGATGAGAGCCGTGCTGTGAAAGGATGTGGGATGCTCACTGTGCATCAGGAGGGGCTTCAATTGGCAAATTGGAGGATGACTGCGTTGACCAGGAGCCCTGGTGGGTGAGCGGGTGAGCAAGCGAGCGAGTGAGCGAGCAAGCAAGCGAGCCCAACATGGCAGGCAGACATTTGCAAGGCGGGAAGAGGGCGGGCAAAGGGGTGTGAGGGGAAGGAATGTGCTTGGAGCGGGCAATTGAGGCGCCTCAAATATCGGCGGAATAAACCGCAGCAAGTGAAGCAAAGAGGAAGGAGGACGGGGCATTGGCGAGGAGGTATACTCCGGCATCATTGCGAGAGAGTGCATGCATGCATGGGATGGCAGGGGTCATGGGTTGAGTAGCACTGTATCAGGGCTCTGCTTCAGAGCACTCCTCCGTCCCTCTGCCCCTCTGTCTCCCGTGCATGGCTCACCGTGGCAGCGTAGGTCATGGGTGAGAAGACGATGTTGAGCGACGTGGAGAGGGGATCCGTGAGCAGCTGCAGGGCAGGAGGGGGGGATGTTGCATCCCAGCTGCCGCAGGGAGGGATGGGGAACAGCGCATGGGAAGAAATGCGAGATTCGGGTGAGACAACGCCATGCATGAGGAACATGGGAGGAAGTGATTGGAGGAAATGAATGAGTAGACTGACAGAAGATGTCAAAGGGATAAAGGAATTGAGAGGGAAAAAGGGAGGGAGGGAGGGAGGGAGGGAGGGAGGGAGGGAGGGAGGGAGGGAGGGAGGGTGAGAGTGCAGAGGGTTAAGGCGCAGTGGGCGGACCTGGTGCCATCGAAAGCTGAGAAGTTGGCATTCCAGGTGAGCGAGCAGGTGAGGTCCGAGGGCCACTCTTCCAGGGGGTCAAAGCGGAACACAAACGACGTCACCCTGCACTCACACCGCATCACATGCACACACATACACACATACCCGCACGTGCACGCACATGTACACACATGCCCGCACATGCCAACATCCATGCACATGTTTCCACGTCACACAGCAGGGAAAACCAAAACCATCAACACACAGGTCAATGATTCAAAGCTTATTAGTGCTGCCATGCAAAAGGCAGGGGGCAGGTTACAGACAATATCCACAGCATACCAACCAACCAATCGTGCCCATACAACTCCATTCCACTCCCCCTTCCCTGTCACGCCCAGGCATCCCACTCTCTCTCTCACCATCTGGCCCGACCAGCAACGCTGTCCACGCCCTTACACCCCAGGGAGAATGGCAGCAGCGAGGGGGGCAGGCCCCACTGCAGCGCTGCTGCTCCTGCTGCCCGTGCCCTTCCCCCAGCTCTGCCTGGTTCCCCCTCTTCCCCCTCTGCCCCAATCTGAGAGGCATCGAAGCCAAAGTCGCTGCCTAGCGCAATGACAGCGCGGTTGAACACCACCTGGTGGGGAGGAGATGGAGATATGGAATACGGAGTATGAGTATGCATAAGGGCACGTGAGTCTGGTTCGGAGGCGCCTCAACACTAGAGTCGCTGCCTAGCGCAATGACAGCGCGGTTGAACACCACCTGGTGGGGAGGAGAGATGGGCACACGGAACACGGAGTATGCGTAAGGGCATGTGAGGGCTGGGGAAGCAAGTAAACTGAAGGAATCAGGCGCAGGTGAAGGGTGGCGGGGGTGCACGTGAGGAGTGGGGGACAAGAGACAGGTGAGGCTTGGGATTGGCACGGCTGAACCCTGGTGCGTATGTCAAGCATGGCTTGTGAAAATTTCAGAGCGTCAGCATGGGAGCATGTGAGCATGGGGTAGAAACAGCACCTGGATGGGGTCCGTGCCGCTGATTCTTGCTGAAGCGGCTGTAGCAGTACCTCCTGATCCTCCTCGGGTTCGGCCGCCGGATTCGGACACGGCTGGCAGCACCGACAGCACCTTGAGAGGAAGCCGCCCTGCTTGCAGGGAGGGCGCGGGAGGGGGGGAAGGGGAGAGGAGAAACGAGGGTGGGGGAGGAAAAGATAAGGCGAACGGGAATATGGGAAGGTGAGACTGGCGATGGAAGACGGAAAGGTGCACGCCGCCTGACGAAAAGCATTCTGCGAGGGGATCCGCGCAAACTAGACCACCGACACAGACAACCAGTGGTAACGGATGCCTTGGTTGGTGTACGGGTGCAGTGAACGTGAGCGTACGGTTGTACGGGCATAGCACATGTGGGCGTACGCTTGTACGGGTGCAGCCGAACGACACACGCCTCGCCAGTTCTCCCATTGTAAGAATGTCGAGCCATATGAACCGTTCTAAAGAGGAAACCGTGGCAATCCTTTCTCCTCGAGATGATCAACTTCTGAATGGGCTCAGAGGCGAAAGAATGAGCCAGTGGTTGGTGGGAATGATAGGTGTTTGTTTTCACCTTGAAAGAGGCCTCGAGGAGCCGCGCTTGAGGCGTCGCCGTTGGACGAGCCCGCAACGACGAGGACGACGGTCGGTGCGAGAGACGCGAGAGACAACAGAATGAGAAACGCTGTGCGGAAGGACCGTGCGGTCGAGAAACGCGCCATTTGGAAGCGATGGAGTCTAGGAGGCATAGGAACGCCAAGGCTGGAGCAAGTGCCACGTGGCTAATACAGCGGCGGACTCACAAAACCTTACGGCCCTCAAACCACTGGTGCCGGCATGCATCCGTTAGCTAATGAAGACGCTCAACACTACGATTGACCTATTTCTCTACCATGTCGCACGGATGTACGCCGAGGCGAAACCAGGACACGAAAGCAAGCGACACTCCACACGAGCTAGACTATCTAGTTCGGGTTTCCTCTCTCCGAAACTAGCGTCCTTGCTGCTTGCTGTTTCAGAAGACATTCGGAAATCTCGCAGCGTCAGAAATCACATGCAGCAATAGCATCTCATATTTGTGTCTTTCCGCAGCCTTCTGCTGCCATCAGGGAAAAGGTATCCTTGCCTGGCTAGTTCGTCGTACACCCGCAAAGGGAGCTTCAGATCCGCTGGTTCGGTACGGTGTGCTCTGTTCCAGCGAGTCTGGTAGCTTCGGTTCGGGTCAGTACAGTGTTTGGTTTGGACGCCTGTCTTCCTCAGTTTTGGTGCAGAAGGCTTTGCCGAGCTGATTATGAGGTTCGGACCAGCTCCGGAAGTATCAGCCAATTGGCGAGACGGGGCCAACAGCGATGGTTTGGGTTTGCATGACACGGCGAACGTCGCCTTCGAGGTTGTCGGCGGACTGAGGTGGACGAGCTTCGGAGAAAGTGGTTTCAGATGGGGAAGATTTTTGTTCGTCACCTCTCCAATAACTTATCAGAGCGACATGCGTTATTGGAACTGTCGAATCAATCACTTTTATGATTCATATACCAGCGTCCGAAACATAGGAACGGTAAAACGTTTATTCTTCAATCACTTGATACTAAGTTGCTCTAACATAAACACGCATCACACAGCACAAAACACACGACGCAAAACATGCTTGTTATAAACCCTGCCTACTGGATGCCTAAAAAGAGCACCATGGTGTCACTAGCAGAAAAACAAAGCACCTGCTACCGAAAGAGCATCAACCCTGGTCGAACGTATCCTCTCTCCCCAACACGCCTAGTTCCAGCCTAGCACATAATCTAGGAATGCAACAATCAGAATCGAGAGCAGATAGAGCGCGAGAACGGGGAAGGCGAGCCAGGTCCGGAAGGTGCGCCAGGTGCCGCCGAGAATGCCGATAATGAAAGTGTTGAGCAGGATAATTGTGACCTCTGCACTGAACTTCCAGTTTAACGAGCGGACGTACACCCGTGCGAGGAACGTGCCCAGACACCTGGTTGCATGGGGAGACGAGATGGGATGATGGGATTGAAGTTGAGGACCAAGGATACGGTGGGTTGAGGCATGAAAACGGCACAGTTGCAAGCCCCAATAGGAACTTTGCATGGAGATAGCACCGTGAACCTGCGACTACCAGGTCCGAAAGCCAAGAGACGATGGGCTGGGACATGCGACTCACATGGTGTTGTTCATGGAGATGGTGCCGTAGACATGCGAGTAGGTAAGCGCGATGGCACATGCCCTTCCCCATGGCAAGGACGGTGTTTAAAAGCCAGGAAGTCACGGGCCGACGACATGGTGTGTGACTCACTGATGTTGTTCATGGAGATGGCGCCGTAGACCTGCGAGTAGGTGAGCGAGATGGTGCGCTTGCGGCGCTTCATGGCGAAGATGAGGCACGAGATGAGCTCGCTCGCGTTAGACGCCAGCGGCATCACCACAAACACCACGAAGAACGCTGGGATGTGCAACGCCCTGCCGTGAACAGAAAAAACGAGATGATATGATGTGATGTGATGTGATGTGACATGTGTTACGATATGAAGCTTTATGAGAAGGCATTCCTGTATGCTGCAGGAGCCGACTCTACCGAGTACGAAGTCGAGGAGTCAGAAGAGTCGAAGCGACACAGCAACCGTCTGACTAAGACCGATGCAGGCAGAAGCATTTGAAGTGAAAAGAGCGGGAACAGGTTTGAAACTGATTCCCGCGCCGCACGGTTTGAATTTCGCTGCAATAAGGGAATGTACCCCTTAGAGTACATGGCTAGTCTAGGTCGTTTCGCATTCCTTTGTATTTCTATATAAACCCAATGTATGCATGCTATTATCAATCTTAGTCATTTACATTCACTCTGACCTGAGTTCACTACTTCCGCTGCGACACTACCTGCGATCAACCCTGAACGATCCTCTTCGCTAAGTCACACTTCAGATTGTAACATGGTATGAGAGCTGCTCAGGGATTCTTCGCAACGTCAACTCCGTAAAATTCGCCAAACCAAGATCTGGCGAGCGGCACACGTTCCAAGACCAAGATGGCCGGAGGATCCGGAGGCCAAACAAATCTAACGGCCGAAGGACAAACCAACCCGGCTGCGACAAATGAAGCGACAACTACGATCGGCACTGCCGCGCTCGAGCAGTTATTCGCTCGACTGTCAACAATGGAGAAAGAACTCCAAGAACTGCGCAAAGGCGATGCGGGAACCACTTCCCAACCAGTTCAACCTGGACAACCGGCTGCGAAAAGCCGCGATACCGCCGCGCACGGCTTCTCCCTCGACTCAGACAAATCTGCAACAACTGCCCCTCGTCCAAGCGACGAAACCATCAACTCTGCGCAAGCACGCTTTCTAAGTGTGTCAAAGATCAAGACTAGTGCCGTGTTTGACGGCAAGGATTTTTATACATGGAGTTTTGAGCTGGAGCTCCTCCTACAGACAGCGCAGATCTACCACTACTTCGACGGTTCCTATCCTAAACCGGTGGAAGACACCGAAGACGCCCGCGCTCAATACTACAGTGAGTCGCTTATGGCGTATAGCGTCCTGCTGCGCAACATGTCGCCAGCAGAACAGCTCGGCATCCGCTCCTACAAAGAGAGCGCCGCTCCGGCTCTTGAAGCTTGGAAGCACCTCGTGGAGGTATATCAGCCGAAGGATTCCGTCACTGCAAGCCGTCTCCTGCAACAACTCATGGAGACGAAGATGGGGCACGGGGAGAAAGCAAACAGTTACATCAACCGTTGTCGGAACATCCGTGATCAAATAATCAAGAACGGAAGTTCGATCTCGGAGGAGATATTCGTAAACATCATCCTCCAGGGACTTGGGCCTGAGTGGAAGCCCTGCAAGGCGCTACTCCGACAACGAGGACAGCTCTCTGAAGCCGCGCTATGCGCCGCCCTGCTGACTGAGCAGCAGGACATGGACTCGAGCAGAACGAGTTCCGCGCCGCGGCGAGAGCGACTCGCCTTCTACACAGACAACCGTGAAGAGCGACGACAACCAAGGCGCCATTACTGCAAAATTTGCAAAGCCTTCGGGCATTCAACGGATCGATGCAAATCCCGATCCAACTATCGGCACCCGAATCCCACTCACCACAACAACTGGGTCAGCCGACAAGACGCTCGTCACTCTCAGCCACAACAACCAGTCTCCCGTCCTCCTGCACAACAACAACAACCACAGCAGTCACAAGGACCTCAAGGAGGAGCTCCCAGGAACGTAATCGCAAACATGGCGACGCGACGCCGCCGCACTGCTGAGCCAGACGAAGAAGACGAACTTCAGGGAACATTGCCGCAACCAGAAGAAGGGTGGAACAACCCCCTTACGGAAGACCACTACTACCTGCACGACGAAGACGAGCAGGATTGGAATCAGCCAATCACACTGCGGGAAAGCCCGCCTCACGACAATCAACTCTACGTACCTGTCGGATGGAAGGAAGATGAAGACCCGTTTTTTCACAGACGTTACAAGGCGACGCTGGTGACCCCGCGACTCGCGTTACTACTCCGCAACAACAACAACAAAGACAACTACAACACCTGGTACCTGGACAGCTGCTGCGGACAACACATGGTGGGGTCGACTCGCTACGTGTCAAACCTCAACCGAGCCCCCGCAACCTTCGTCACCGTTGCTAATAGCCACCAGCTGCGCGCCAACTCCCAAGGCATTGTCGTTCTGCAAGCACGAGACAGCAACACTCACATCTCGTTCAACGACGTGCTCTACGTCCCAGACCTGCGCTTTAATCTACTCTCGGCAGGACAACTTCGGGACTGCGGCGTCATACTCACCACCGACCTGGCCACGCGCGACCTCATCCTCACGTACGCCCCTCCGGACACACCTCCCGAGTCGTTTAAATACCTCGGTCGAGCCCGCTCAATCAACGGGATCTACGTTCTGGACATTGACGTACCAAGCTGTGAAGCCTCGTCGGATGAGCTCGTGGACCTGGTCCCCCTCGAATTCGCCTTCATGAACGAAGAATCGTGGCAACATCCTGACGGGCGACCGTGGATTCGCCGCAGCCCACATCCGCGCGAAATCAATCTGCACAACCCCGACATCAACGGGCTCTGCACCACCTGCCATACACCCGCTGCAAGCCGCACGGAACAAGTGGAGAGGGAATACGCGGCGATCCAGGAGGCAGAAAGCGCCGAGGAAGAACCAACTGGCATGACCGAAGAAGAACTCGCGGTATCAACTTACCGCATCTTCGGAGAAGAAAACAAGCAGTTCGGTCATCAGCCTGATCCGCGGCCCACACCACGTTCCGAAACTCTCCGATTCATCCTCGAGGCCAACGCCACCACCATAGACGAGGAAGGACGCCCGCGCCCGTACACCCGCGAAGTTTATCGCCGCGAAATTGACCCAGCCTGGAAAGACCCTGATGAGGCAGAGGAGTTAAGCGTCAAAGAGGAACAAGATAAGGTCAGGGCAGAGAAGAAACAAAAACTGTACGAAGAGCGCATCGCAGCAGGCTGGAGCGAGGAGTCTGCACGACGAGGTGGATGGGGAGACGATGACTATCAACCCGGGGAAGGCGCCACATGGGCATCAGCCACCGGAGCATGGGGATCCAGCGGCAGTGGCATGGCTACCACAGGAGGCTGGGGTACGGAAGAAACAGCCGAAGCAGATCTCACCCAAGAAGAACTGGAGGAAGCAGAACAAGAGATGCGCACCGAACGCGGAGAGGAA